CGGGCAGCACTCAGCGGGAGCGGAGCGGGGCCGGGGCGCTCGGCGGGGCGGCCGCGCCGCTCCCGGTTTTAGACCGGCAGGGCCCCGCCCCGTCCCGCGGGCGGGAAGGCAGCGCGCGGCACTTCCGCTGCTCCTGGGCGGCCCGAGGGAGGATGGGCCGGGAATCGCCCCGGGAGCGGAGATCCGCCCTGTCCGCGCTCTGGCACGCTTCTCCCCTCAGCCCCTCCACTCTCCTCCTTCGGGAGACCACCTGGTGCTGCGTGGCCAAAGGCTCCTCACACCCCATCTACAGCCGCTTCTCTCCCTGCCGAATAAATGCAGATTTTTGTTTAAGATCGTTTTTACGGGCTTGAAATCACAGGCGTCGCAGGTTTGCAGACATTTAGGTTGGAAAAAACCTCTGAGATCATCTGCTCCAACCTGTGACCAAACATCACCTTGCCAACCAGACCCTGGCGCTGAGAGCCACATCCTGTCTGTCTTAAACACCTCCAGGGACGGTGGCTCCACCGCCTCCCTGGGCAGCTGTTCCAATGTCTGATCACCCTTCTGTGAAGAAATCATTCCCAATGTCCAACCCCAACCTCCCCTGGCACAGTTGAAAACTTTGTGCTGTCATTCTGTCACTTGTTACCTGGGAGAAGAGGCCAGCCCCTACCTTGCTACAACCTCCTTTCAAGTCTAGTAATACAGTCCTACTTCAAGGAATTCTTTCTTAATACAGCTTTACACTTCAACATAGCTTTGCTTCAGCAGTGTTTAGCTGCTATTCATTACACGTGTCCTTCCTGACACATTTTCCTTCCTAACATGCCCACTCACAGTGGCAGTGCCACGCTCAGGCTTTGGATGGCCCCGCAGAGTGTGCCTGACCTTAGGGCCCTTTTTAAAGTTGTGGGATTCTGCAAAACAGACTGAGTCAATTATGATTCAAGTCATGTTGGCTTCCTGCTGGCAATGGTGTTGGGGGAATCAAAAATGACACACCAACATGTAAATTTCAAGGAACTGAAGTTTGTTTTCCCGAACTGTTTGGCTTTGTCCTGAAAAGTCATCACTGCCTCAAGCAGCACTGTCCCCCCCTCTCCCTTCTTCTCAAAGCGTGGTTTTTTTGTTTTTTGGTTTTTTTTAGAAATCACTGTGGAGCTTTTTGTATCTTTTTGTTTCTGGTATCTTAGTAATATGGATTATATATTTGTATAGAACATATGAATAATAAAAAAGAGATGCTATCTTTTGCTTACAGAAAGCCACGTGATTTCTGCACCTGAGATATGCAGAAAAAAAGCCCCACACACTCAGCAGGTTAGGAAATACTAGTTTATCCACTTTCCTGGTATCCACAGGCATTCACATTGTTCCCAAGGTGCCAAGGCAAAAACCAGCTCTTTTACCAAAGCTGGTTTCTGCAGCAGTGGGTTTTTTGGTTGCTGTTTTTGAGTGCTTGTAAAAGGATGCATGCTAAGGAAGGAGGCGACTCTTCATCATATCCCTCAAGTAGTGTCTATAAAATGAAGCACGAGGCCCCTTCTTCCCTGTGGCTCCAGGAGGAGATGCAGCCACCTCATGCCAGCACTGTTTCTTTCACCCACTGCCACCTAAAGGGTTGTTTTTCTGGTAACTGCTCCACTGCAGCTGATGCTTAGGATTTAAAGCAGGAAGATACACTCAGGACCTGCTGGAATTCTTATGAGATGTGTGGCCAGGTAGAATCCTTACAGGATCAGGTTTTCATTCTCCAATGTGTGTGACTTAAAAATGCAATTGCTGATGTAGATAGCAAATGCTAATTGTCACAGCACTGATGGTGAGGACTTTTCAAAAATACCCCTATAAAACCATGAGTGAAGCCAGAATGGCAGGGGGTAGTAGACATTACTTTCCCTTAGCTATTTTTCTGGACAAGCTCCTGAGAAGTTTCCTGTCTTTAGCCAGGCCGAGTACAGCCAGGAGGGCTGTGTAAGATAAAATATATCTGTTGCTGCCAGAAAGAGGCTCTGCACACTTCTTAATGAACCCACCTCCTGTGCTCCCGAGAGCGGAGGGAACATTCACCCTCCCACCTTGGTAACTTCTGTGCTGTTCCTCACCTCTGCCAGGAAAGAGCTAGGGAGGGGTTGTGGTTCTGCGCCAAGGGGAGCGATGCAGGGTGGGCAAGGCAGCTTCGTGGGCATGGAATGGCACCTGTGGAAAGGGTCAGAGGCTTCTGAAGGCTACTTTCATTATCAAGGGAAAAGGAAAGCAGCAGCTGCCACCAGTCTGAGCTCCTGGGGTGGGGTTTACTTGTTAGAGAGTCTTTTACTGGTGCGATTTCGCAGCTAATCTGTGCAGGAGCATTCTTCTTGGTGGGCCAGCGTAGGTTTTGCCCTAGCTAGGAACAGATAAAGCTATTCCTAGACCTGTTGTTCCATCCACAGCTTGTCAAACAGCAGAATGTCTTTGTTCCTAATTGGGACTGAGAACTAACAAATTTACAGTGTAACTTAAAAAAGCCATGATGATGTGTTGGAAGACTATGGATGCGAGCTAACCTCCTGTGTTCCAGAATCCAGCAGTCACTTTCCAGACATTCATTTTTCTTCTGGCATCAGTGAAAAATCCTCATGGACTGGCCTTTTGACAGCAGAAAGATTCCCCATCCCTGGGTAATCACAGCTTTCTCCCACTACGATTTTTATTCCCACTACTATGGGGGAGTGAAAGACCAAAAGAACAGGAAGAATTGTAAGGTTTGGTACTCAATGGACCTGCTGCCCTACTGAGCTGCACAAGTGAGGCAGCGAGAGCTGTCATTCCTGCCACCTGCAGCACAGCCTGCTGGCCCAGCCTCCAGGCAAGGGGAAATCCGAGGCGTCATTCACCCCTGCCGCAGTAATAGGCTTCCTTTTATCACACCACCATAGGAACACCAGAGTTTATCCTTTGTTTTTGTAAATGGTTGAGTGGGCAAGAAAATGCAACACTTTGGGATTTCCCCGGCTGGGATTTCCCCCACCATCCTGTGTGAAACTTCAGCCCCTTAAAAAAAAAAAATTACTGAATGCTGCTACACCAGCATCAGATGTTCAGGCTAGTGCTGCAGACTGAGGAAGTGAGCTTCAGATACAAAAATTAAATCCTAGTTACTACAACCCAATTTATATTACCTTCATCCCTTCTTGGCTATTTTTAGTAATTTCTCTTCACTCAGAATCTGAAGAAACAATGTAGACTATGCACGTGTACTGGGGATGTATTGCTGATTTCTTTGCATCAGATTATTTAGAGTGGCTGATAATGAGTCAGCAAAAACTTGAAGCCAGACACTTTAACACCCAGATTTATCTCAGGGCCTCATCAATCATCAACCAAGGAAGTGACATCAGAGGAAAGAAACAATAGTACCACCAACAAAAAAGAAAAAATAATTAATGACTTTATTTTTTTTTTAGTTCAGTTGGCCATCTGAGGTGCTAAAATCTCAACACCAATGAAGCAAGTGTGCATAAAAACAAACGATAAAACACAACCAAATAGAAGAAAACAGGCTGGAACAGAGTTGGTTTTGTACAGGTAGGGTATTCACTTTTCTGTTAACGCTCCATACATGCCAACCGTAAAAGCCTTGAACAATCTGAATATCAGAGTTCAGGTTCACACAAAAAGGCAGATGCCAAAGCAACTCCCTTTGCCTGACCTAGACTTCACATACATACGCATGCACGCACAGATATAGAGTATTTAAATTACTGCAATGCCATCAGAACATGGCATCCTGCCCTTCACACCTGCTTCCAGTGACATCCTCATCTGCCTGCTACCCTGCCTAATACCTGCCAAGCAGGAACACACAGGCAGGGTAGCAGGCTTGGACAATCCAAAAGCAGGAACTTTTGGAAAGCTTCCCATCTCTGTTACTTTGCAAAGGTCAACAGCCAGCGATCTCTGTGAACTATATACAGGCTGGTTTTTAGTATGCTTTAGAGCGCTCTTCCTTGCAGACAGTGACAACTGAAATTCCCACTGCAGCTTTTCAGTTTGTACATGGGAGATTTTACAATGTAACACCTCTCTCAATCCACTGGTGTGTGGTGCAAACACTTAATGGAAAACTCATTTTAGAAGAATGTTAACCAAACAAGGTGTAGCTGCTGACAAAAGGGAACTGCCGGCTGCTCTAGATCATGCTGTCTAGACCACTTAGAATACTTCATTAACGTTCAGGATTGGGATGTATAAAAATATTAAAACCCACCAGAGTGCACACACTAGCTCTATGCAAGCACCGTGTTCTAACAGAGGCCTAGGCATTGCACAAAACTCAGATTCTTGACCATGGGGGTAGCCCAAGGATCCACTGGTGCCTTTACATACAAACAAATATTTACAGAAAATGCAGAGACAGAGAGAGAAGGACAGACTTTTAAAACTTGCAGTTTGCTCTAAAATATGTTCAGCAATGCAGTTTATAACATGCCCTAGTGAGACCAGGGGGTATTGGTTAACTGAAAGAAGGAATATGTCTGAAAGTTGGAGCTGAAATGTCTTGTCACCTCCCCACACATTAGTTCTCTGAAGCTCGGAATTTTACAGCCAGTTGTGACTTTTAATGAAAATGTGGTTAAAAGGAACAGAAGAGTAAAAAAAAAAATATTACTATGAAAACAACAGATTAGTTGTTCTGGCAGTCCTCAGTCCCCCACCTCCATTTATTTCCTGGGCACTTTCTTCCAGGAGCTGGTGTTCCCCTCCCTTCCTTGCAGGGGGCTGAAGGGTTTGCCCCATCCTCAGTGTGCCCGTTTGGAAACCAACACGGCTCAGGTTCCAAGCTCGGCTCTCTTCCCACCTGCTGCCGGGATGAAGCGGCCAGCCCTGGGTCAGGGCACGTCACCTGGGGACAGCCACCCTCGCGTGCCACGTCTCAGGAGCTGAGGGTCCCTTGGTTCTCCTCACACGTGAAATGGACACACGTCACTGAACGCGCATGGCTGAGCGTGCGCTGCGGGCAGCGCGAAGAGCTAGAACATCCTGCTCGGATTCGGATACAAATAAGGAATCTTGTGCTCACAAGAACCTTCTTCAGCTTTAAAAATACAAAATTTGAATTAAAAGTATTCAGAGAGTAAAAAAACCCACTACTGATATGCAAGTCATATTCTTAAAGTGCAACTGAACAGCAAATAACAAGTTGTGCCTTTTACAACCATTTTGATATAAAAAGGCCTTTTAACATTCCCTTTAGTGTATTTTAAATCAATTTGTGTGTGCGATGTTAGCTCTTTGTTTTCATTCTTGCCGCTGGAGGCCTTCAGCAGAACCCGAAGAGTTTAGGGTTAGAATATGTGGGTTTTCTGTGCAATAAGGTATTACACCCGGAAGTGATCTCACTCCTCAGCATTGCAAAGATCTGACCAATGTCCCTCAGCATGAAAGGGAAAAGAAACCATCTGGTGTTTCTTCTTCAGGACTTTGTTCTACAGCTCACATTCAATGACCTTTTGTTACAAAATAGATGTGATCCATATACCCAGTGCACTATAAAATGGACTGAGGCCAATTCTCTGCACAAGACAATTCACAGTAAACTTTCTTTTTTCCCCTCTTCCTGAACTCCAGCTTCCAGTGGCCCCTCAAATGCAGACTGTGTAAACTACCTTTGCCAGTCTGACTCGAGCAGCAGGCCCTGCACCAGCAAACGGGAAGGAATTCTGTTCATTAGCCATCCTGCTGGTAAAGGCAACACTCTGGGATGCTGGAATGGCAGGTGCCTTTGCTAAACTTGCTAAACACGCACAGTTGTGAAGTAGCACTGCAGCTGCCTGTCTGTCTGCTTGGTTTCACGAGTATTTGGATTTAATTTGTAATGCCTTAGCATAAAACACTAGGTGGAATAAAGGGAGAACACTTTGGGTGGAAAACATGGGTTTCCACAGTTAGCAACCAGCACTGCTCAGTGTCCCCATGGACACTCCTACCCATTGTCCCTCAGCATGGGACATTCTCCCAAGTCAGAGGTGAATTCAAATCATAGATCTTGGCTTATAGGAGACCTCTCTGAAGGAGGCAGAGAGCCAAGAGCAAGAAACCATGCAAACTTCTGTGTTGGGGCAAAGGACTGAAGGATGTTCAGCCCTGTTGGGGTGCCTCGCACCGGCAGTGTCAGTTCCAGCTGGAAGAGTCAGGCTGTACAAATGTGCTTGTGAATGGACATGTTCTCAAAGATGTCAGAAAGCAGCCTTGGTACTTCTTTAACACAAAAAGAACACAGCATCCCAAGTAAGGAAACCCTCTGGACACATCATGTGAAGGATGGGACACATCCCCAGTGCACGGTGCTGTTTCAGCTCTGCAGGATAGGTTAAGGACACAGTTTGCCCAGGGAGTCTGTCCCACAGGGAGTGGGGCTGAGCTGCTCAGTGCACATCCTGCTCACTGGTTATTGTGTGGTTACACTCAGGACCCTCCTGGCTGAAAAACAGCAGATTCACTAGCTGGGCCAAAAGGAGCTTCTTCCAACAGATGCAGCAGGAAATGTGCTATTTTTGTTTTTGTGGAAATCCCTTGAACTGTATCATGACTGTGAGTATCTCCTCTTTCAGTGAGGAAGAGTCATATGGGATATTTCTGCCTCACAGTTTTGGCTTTCTTATTATAAAAATGTAAAATTTAAATAAATATAGGTTTGTTAGTCCAAAAGAGAGAATGTGGGATGTGGAAGAAAAGGATGCTAAGAACACAAATAGATTCTTAAAATCCATTGAGTGCACAGGATTTTCTCATACAGGAAAACTCCTAGGGCAGGATGCATCCATGGGTACATAAAGGCTGCCCTTGCTGTGAAGCAGGGACCAATCTGCAGTAGTGTCTTTCTCTAACAGAGTTAAAACACTCCCTCCACAATCAAATATGTGTAACAATCAAATTATTATTAAGAACACTAATAAATAGCCACAGGTAACAACGTCCAGTAATTTTGAAGTGGAAGTTGTAGGATGCAGCAGGCACACACACCATCACTCGTCCATTTTTTTCCTAAAAGATACAAAAATGAATCTTCTTTCAAGTATTAAAAAAATAAGTTAATTGACATAAAAGGGTCAAAGTGACTGAGGGCCCAGGCAGGTCTTAAGCTTTGTTTCCAATGTGCAAAAACAAAATACAAAGGAAGAAAAAATAAAAACACTGAAAAGTCTTAATGGTGGTTCGGTCACTTAAGGGCTTCTCCCTTTTAGGGGGCTTTATAACCAGGGAATGCTGCCTGGGAACACCCCCGCCCCAGCACACACTTACCACTGTCCCACAGCAGTATTTTCCAGTGTCAAAACAGTCACAATAAAAACTGAACAAGGAAGTCCACCAGCCTCTGAGCTGTGGCCATGAAGACTAAGGCCAGCAGTAGCTGCCTCTCCAGTGTGTAGCAAAGCAGATAGGCATCTTCTCTCTCTCTTCCGCTCCCCCTTTGTTCCCCACAAGAAGATTTAGGAGGCTAAGGTAGGGAAAGAGTCCACTGATGCCCACTTCTCTCCAAAAAGCAAGAGGCAGAGAGTTCCATCACGCATAGCAGTGTCTTCTCTGTCTTGTATTTCTTCATATCCATGCATAAGGATCAACTGCAGGTTTCTTTGGTGGGGAGGAAGACTAAAGCAAAGAAGGTGTTGCCCTGGGCTTCTGGAGCTCTCTTGGATAGCTGGCTCCACTGCTACAGGCTGCTGTGGTTTTTCAGGAAAGGTTGCCATTTCCCTCCCTTTTATTAGAACTGGTGTAGTAAAAATGGGAAAGGAATGGACTGCCTTAAATCCAGTGTAGTTAAGGGTACTTCTTCCCTTAACCTCCTTCCCCACACATGGATTATTCCCCCTCCCTCCTACCACACACAAAATATGGTCCATTATACAGGACCTCAAGGAGACTCCACAGTCTCAACTCACTTCTTCAACTTTGCTTGCAGACATGTAAAACTTAAGCTTCTGGAACCGACACACTTATCAAAAGACTTCTGAGTGCTTCAAACCAAATCCCTGCATGCTGTTGGACCCTTCAGAGGTTTCCCCTTCAACATCTTCCTATCCATGTAATTCTGGCAAACTCAGGGTAGGCCAACTGGACAACACAGACCAGCAGAGATAAATGTGTTAAGCTCAGGACCAGTTCAAGCTAAAACCTTTGGAAAGCATGACTGCCTCCAGGTCCTTGTCTTCTTCTTTTTCTCTAAGCCGCTGCTCCTCAAGGAGAGCCACAAGGGAATCTCTCTGCTCCACTACTTCAAGCATTTCGTTCAGGATCCTCTTCTCCTCCGAGAGCTCCTCATCTGTCTTCAGATGATCTACAGAAATATCAAGAACTATCAGCATAAACAAGGCTAGGAATACACACACACAATCCATGAAATATTCCCTTTTGCTCTCACCTTCTACTGCCATCCTCTCACGGAGTTCCTGCTGCAGTCGACTCTGCCTGTCTTCCAGTTCTAGCTCCCGAGCACTAAAAGGAAAAGAGCAGAAGCCCAAGTCCCAGATGTAATAAAATACTGCTTACATTGCTTCATATTCATTCTCAGTTTCCGCTCCCTCTCTAGATATCTGCTGTGCATTTTACCAATCTCATCTGGAGCAACTCTTCAATAACTTAAGACAAATAACTGTATTTTTAAAAGATTTAATTGCACTTTTAGCATTGCACGTTCTTTGCCTTCAGCTAGGAAGTGCAATGATGAAAGTGGAGCAAACTAAATATAGAGCAGAGTCAAAGAGCAAATAAATCTGCAATGCCTCTACATATCCCCTGCTACTTCGGAGTCTAAAAACCAAAGTTACTTATTAACAAATTACTTATTACTTAAGGACATTGTCAGACTATTGCAAACACCACCTTGGGAATTTTCTGCCACTAAGGCCATCAGCTTCCACATTGGTGAGGTGAGCTGACACACCTCAAAATGAATTTTGGTGAATTTGCACAGTGGGAACAGAAAAATCCCACATTTTCATGAACAGGAAAACACCCTTACCATCTGAGCCCACATGAGAGGCATTGGGGTCTCCCTTATAGGCAGAAAGGAGGGCCACATGGCAAGGTGGCTGAATGAAATGCTTTTGTCTATGCTTAGAAGATAACTTTACCAAAACCAAAAAGGAGTCCCACATTATTTCTGCATAGCTCAAAAACACCTGCACAAACAGGATGTGTTTTATACAAGAACAGCATTAGAAGGGCTCACAAAACTGTACTTCTTTATGTTCACAAATAATTTGAACTTTCATCCCTTACCACTATTATTCTTTCGTCTACCACTCCTCTGAAATGTACTTGGGGTTCCTATCTCGGCCTAAGAGGCTTCTGGCATAACAGGGAAGACGATACTGACAGATCTTCTACTGCTATTTATGACAAAATCTCCATTTTTTCTACATTCACTCACAATATCATCAGTTCAGACTCGTAGCGAACCAAGGCATTCTTCTCCTGCACCAGCTTGAACCACTCCTGCATCAGCTTGGGGTCATCCTTCTTACCCATGCCTGCCAAGAAAGAAAGCTGGTAAATTTTCAGGTAATGCCCTGCAATCCTTACAAGCCCAAACTGCAAAAACAACAACGGGGCAAAATGTGCAAAGAAAGCCGAGCAAGATGCTGCCAGAGCACTCCCAAGCCGGGTCCGTTCAGTTTGCCTGCAGCACTCAGTTGAGTGGAAGTCACCTACAAAAGAATTCTCTTCCCTTTGGAGCCTATTTTTTTTTTTCCCCTGATATTCTTGTGATTACTTGTTTCTTCCTCACTCTCACTGTAGAAAGCCCCAATTTCTATGAGTATTTAACTTTTACTTTCATTAGAAGAATTTTATAGATGCTCATGCCAGCTACTTAAAACATATGCTCATCAGAAAAGGATTCAATTGCTACTCCATGTTTTACCTTTGTTTTCTTCAATTGCATGTCCTCAAGCTTTTCTTTTACTAGCCAAAAGTAACATCTTCTCTCTTCTTTTTCCAACAGTTAAGTAAATCTTTTCTGACTGCTCCTCCTAGTCACACAAATCTATTAATCCTGAAGATCCCTCAGCACAGTTAACACAGAAACTAATTCTACTGTACTGCATACCAGCACTAGAAAGAAAAGGAACCCCCAGACACATTTGCTAATATGAAAGAAGAATAAAGAAAACTTGGGCCTTGACCACCTAGTACAGAACTCTTTGCTTGTCCTTTAATTTTAGAACAAACTCCTAAACTAACTCAATAGTCCACTGATGAGACTTGCGCCTCTAGGAAGTCATGTGGAATAAATGCAGAATGCTGTTCCCAAAGCCTTCTGTTGATATTTAGCAAACACAAGAACTTACCAAGGAGGGTCCTCCTGGCAAGCTTTTGGTCTGGGCCACTTATTCCACACTGAACCACCTGCATCTGAATGCTGTGATTTACATCAGACCCCAGTGGCAATATTCCTGCCCGTGGGAGTGGAAGCAGGAGCAAGGCCTCAAATCAAGCTCACCAGCACTTCTGGATTGCTGCCTCCCATCAGATTGCACTGCAGATGACCTAGGCATCCCAAGGTAACTAAGATCCCTGTCTCTGCTTATTGTTATGGATATGTACTCTACATCAAGAACAAAAGCTCTCAAACAGTCCATCTAATTCTAAAATAATCGAGCAGTAAGCTTACTATTCAAACTCTGTGACACAGACACATCACAAATACCACATTAATGGCTACTTAATTCAGACCATACCCTGCCTCATCCTCAGTATGTCAAGAGAAGCACTGCCCTGCAGTTACACAAGGGAGAGCCTAAAACTCCTAGTAAGCTGCAGCTTGGGCTGCCTTTCACCTGCCTTTGGAAGCGTGTCATACCAGCCCCTCGGGGAATACCAGGCTGGGTTGTACCACCCCAAGAGCCCCTGGCTCTGTGGACTTTATACCAGTGTGTTGCTCAGTTCCAAGCATTCCTTTCTGAGCATCTCTGCACAATATGCCCATGTGGCGACAGGAGAGGGAGACTGTACATGCAGATGTCCAGCGCTGTGGTGCCATGAAAACACTGGGAAGTCTCCCCTTCCTTTCCAATGCCAGGATGTATAGAAAACAAATGCCTCTAAGAAAAAGCCAAAAACACAGTGCTACTGACCTATGAAATATGTAAGTATTTTTAAACAGCCAATGAGTAGAGGAATAATGGGAGGACTGGAAAGGGAGCACTGACAACTGATGTGAGGGAGCACTATGGAAAGCAGGTAAGTGGTTAGCAAAATTACACCATGAACACACATAAAACAACCCCTTCCCCATGCCTTGGCAATGGAAACTCTACAGCAAACTCCATTTTGTATAGTTAAAGAATGCACTCGGCAAGACAGATGAGGGGAATCTAGTCTAACTTAAGGTCTGATGGTTTTTAAAATTCATGGGTGTTTTTCAAATCAGTCCTTATAAAGACACAGTATTCCTTTAATCCCTAGATGCTAATTAAAAGGCTGTATTTAAGGAAACAGATTGTCACCCTTACCCCACCTTCCGAACATCTTTCAGGAGGAATAGAGTAATTGAAGCCACCAAATGAAAATAGAAACTTTTGAGTGTGACACTTCTGGTCTCACAGCTGCTGCCCATTGTCCCTCCCAGTCACTGCACCTTCTCTTGCACAGCTGGGACTAGCAAAAGGGATACTGTACCTTTAACAGTTTGCCACAGGCTCAGAGAAGCTGGTTACCAGGTAGCTACACACAAGGCTGGTTTGGGGACACAGCAAGAAAAGGGCTGGGGGCCTTGTGGTCACTAGCTGACTAGCGCTGCTATGACAACCCAGCTGTGGGCAGGGAGGACACGGGGTGTGTGAGGTTACGTTACCTTCATGGGCACAGCAAGGGCAGAAGGAGAGAGGTCTACGACGTGGTGTCCCGGCATTGGGCTCAACTTCAATAGGACCCAACGAGGAAGAGGAAGAGGCAGGAGAGGAAGAGGAAGTTGGAAGTGGAACGGAAGAGGAGGAAAGGGGTGAAATAAAAGACAAGCAAAGGACAAAAAGCATAAGAGTGAGAAAGAAAGGAAACACAAGAAGAAAAAGAAAAGAAAAAATACAAGAAATGGAGAAGCAGAAACAAGGGATACAGTCTACAGATGAATAATGTCCCTAATAAGCACAGATAACAGGTAAGAGGTAGACTGAGGTACTGGTGAACTCTTAGTGAGCTGTACAAATACTAGGCAGGAGGTTACTGTTACTGCACTTTTCCTAATGTACAGTTTTCAGGTGCAAGGTCTTTAACCAAAAGGTTTGTGACCCAGATGTCAGGACGAGTAGAGGCATGTATTTAACTTGTATTTAACTTCTGCTGATAAATGTCAGATTTCAAGCAGGATTACAGTAAGTCTTGCCTGCATGCATAAGACACCAGCTGTAAGCAGCCACCCTACCTTCAGCTCTGTCAGGACCATGCTCTTATCACCGTGGCAGCATCCACTGATGGTAAAAGTGTCCTTTGTAATGGAATAGAATGTCTTCAGACAGGGAACACCACAGGGAGAATGTGATTACCATGGAACCAACCTGCCAGTATCTGCTGTGTCAAGTATGGTGAGTACACACGTACCCACCCGATTGTTGTGCTTCAGAGAGAAAGGCTTTTACATGGATAAAGTGATTCGTATCAGGGGCTGTGGGGGCAGCCACTGACTGAGGACTCTGCAGAGTTAAGCCAGTAAATTTAAAGCTCTCCCTTGGTGTTCTCATTCCACAAAGCATTTTAAAGCTTACAAGTCCTGTTAGTAACAGTGACTTACTGAATTTATACTGAATCTTTATAATCTTTTCCATCAGCCAGTGAAGGATAAGCATTTCTCCATCTCTCAAAAGGTTCAGCTTCTTTAACACCAAGAATTTGCTTTTCAGAGATACTTAGCATTATAGAGATAAACAGCAGGCAGTAACCAATATCACTAATAGTTACAGGAGAACACACACCAGGGAGATGATGAACTCTGAAACATCAGAGCTACCAGAAAGGAACACTTACTGGGCTCAGGGCACAACTGCATTTTTAAAGAGGAGGCATTTCTGTGTTGGGAAGAGGCATAAACTCCACAACAACAGTATGGTAAGAATAACAGTCATTTTGGAGAAGTCAGCAGAGTTTGGTGTTTGTGGTTCACAGAAAGCTCTACAAAATTAGAGTACCAGTGAGCTGGGAAGGCTTTAGAAGGGACCATCACAGAACTAGACCAACACATGGATGACACACTGGAGCAAGAGGGAGAGCACAGCAGCTTCATTCAAAGCCTGTGACTGAGCAGCACGGCTCTCTCAGAAGAAGAAACCTCTGTACTGGAAGCAGGAAGGGGCAACATCAGGAGAGGTGCCACAGCTGGCCATAGGACAGTTACAAATAAAGCATCGCACCAACAACAGTTGAGAAAGTACCAGAACATTAATTACACTGTTCTGAATTTTTTAACTTCTTCATTTAAAATACAAAAATACTAAGGCTTTTTTCCTACAACTGCCATTTCACAGATCAGGTTACAAAAGCAAAAACAAACAGAAAAAACCCCAAGCCACAAAGGTATGGTGTAAAACATGCTTCCACACAAAGCAGAGCATTTAGTGCATGATACTTGTTAAGCATTTTTTATTTCCCATCCTATCTAATTCAAAACTACAACTTTAAGCTAAAAGCTTTAATACTCTAACTTGGTCTAACCACTGTTTTGAGGGTGCTCAGGGAGATGGAGATTTAACTGTATGGAAAAATCCACTTCTCTCAGGGCTTGAGATTTCATTCAGAACTGGGTGCTGGGGGGATTTGATACATTTCAAGCCATGGACATAGAGACTTGGTAAGGAACTTCCAGTTTTCTGTATTTAAGCTGAAAAGAAATACCCAGTATGTGAAAATGTCATTCATCTCATTGTGAAATGGCCACACACTGCTAGCTTTTGCCATCAGTAAACAAGTGGTGTGATACTAGGAGAGGATCCCATCTTTGTTCTCCAGTAAAAAGCCCCAGGGATCACACAGCACCTGACTAACATGGAGTTCACTCCCCACAACTGTACTTTCCTCCCCTGCTCTTAGTTATCTTCCCACTCTTGTCTAAAGAAAATTTGTCCTTGAATCAAGTTACAAAGTCCATGGTATCTACACTAGTCCTGCTACTAGAAAAGTCAACATGTTTTTTCAGTAAGATAATAAACATAACCTTTGCAATTAAGATCCTTTCCAGCTATTCTAGATGTAAATTACAGTTAATTACATTGGTGAATACAGGTTATGATCATTGCAATTACTTTGGAAACAATTTCTGTCCAAAGTAGGATGATTAGCAAGGCTTTAGAAAGTCTTCCTTATGTATTGGAGGTTTTTAACAGCAAGAACAAAGTGCAACCTGAAAACTTACTTCCCATGGTTCTCTGAAGCTTATTTTATGGTTTCTTGCACCAAAAGCCATTAATAATCCAACAATAAATAGTATTACTATTAATAATATTATTGCATTGTTTAGAGAAGAGAAATCACCACCTTCCAGTCTCATTAAATTTTAAATAGGATCATCACTGCAAGACAATTTTTCTGGATGTGGAGCCAGGACCAGATAGGGAAAACCCCATTTGTTGTGCAAATTAAAAAAACCTCAACAAACCTAACCTCCCTTTCTGTTTAAGTCTTCTTCACCACTAAAAACATACTGACACAGGTATTCACCCACAACATGGAAAGAGTTCTGGCAGCAGCAACACCTGCTGAAGCAGTTTGTTTGGAAGGAGCTGAGGGGCAAGACAAGAACCATTTCTGTGACCATTCCCTTCTTAGGTTCCTCCTGTGCTGCCAGCAAACAAGGTGTGGGTATAGCCTCTGGACAGAAAATTACCCTTTTTTAAACCAGGAAGATAAAGCTGTCAACAGACTATGTTAGTCACGAGTTGTTCCCTTTCAGTGCCAAACACCAACTCTTCTTTTATGTCAAGCCTTGTAAAGCAGTCCCAGCTGCTGTAAGCCAGAGCATGTTTTGGAGGCAGGAGCTGCAGTTTATTAAGAAAAGGAGTTCCTGAGCACAGTAAACAGTCTTGAGAGGCAGAAGCTCTGCCTTGCACACCAGACACATCCCATTAATAAAGTGATTGGAATTACTTTGCTTCTGTGCAAAAAAGCCACAAGAATGACCTTGTTTGTCACAGTACTTGTGAGAGATTGCAGACTTAGCTACAGTGGTGGGAACCAAGAGCCAGGTCAAGAATAAATACCATAGCTGCAATGTCTCTTCAAAACAAGGACCAGAAATTGTATAGCCACTATGTTCATTTTCACTGCACATTGTTCTTTGTTACAGAAGCTACATTGGGCTCTTGCATTCTTTTCTAACATTTATTTACCTGTTGATTAAAGAGCAATTCTTCAGACCGGTTTTGTCCTTTTCCTCTCTACCTCCAGAACACTTCTTCACAATCAGAAGCCCAGTGGTCAAAATGATCAATCAGGATGAAGAAAGCACCACACAGAGTTTGAGGTGGCACATTGATAGCAAGGATTTTGACAGATGTCCCACAAGCACATCACAGTTTATTAAATCTGGGTCAAACTCAATATCCTCTAAAGTACAATCACTAGAAGAAACCTGGGGAAAACTCACAGAGAACCAGATTGTCATGCACACTGAACCACTTTTATTTGTCCAGTAGAAGTGGGTGGGGAAAATGCAGGGAAGGGAAGGAAAAAAAAAGGGGAAAGCAGTGGTTGGAGCAGAACACACACAAATATGACTCCAGAGAAGTCTTCTGCTTCTACTAGACCTCGAGGCACTTCAGAATGCACTCAGAATGAATACAGTCCTGCACTGACCCTGTCTCCCAAGACTGTTGTTTTTGTGTGCAGAAAGAAGCAGGTAAATGGCAATTGCCTAACAAGTACTGGTACTTAACAAGTTCTGCTTATCAAGTGCTCTTTTCTGCTCAAAATTTAAAGCAAAGAAAACAAGTTACCAATTCACTTCAGTGTCAAAAACGGCTGCAGACTGCAAAAACAATGTTTATCTTACAACTCCATTCCCCTTCCAGAAGAGCTGTGTTTGCCAATCATAAGAAATAGGACTGATCCCACTTGAATATATCAGACTCCAGCCTAGCAGAGTTAGACCTGCAAGACTTTAAAGGACATAGTAAGCTCAAATCTTTTAAGTAAGTTTAAAAAAAAAAGGTGAATTTGTTGAAGAGTGTGCTTTAAATAGAGTACAAAGATTTTTAAAAAACCCAAACAATTGCACTTTCCCTGCCCTGTTTACCTGATGTTCATAAAGCTCTTGTTAAGAAGGGAGAATATGTGCCTGAAATCAACACTATCAAATCTACCAGTTCTCTTCCCTACATCTTCTTGCCTCTCTTGGCATATGCCAGCCAAGAAAAAAGCAAAATAGGAGTGTGTGGCTGTTTATTTAATGATTCCCTGCTGGGTGCAAGGAAAAGGAAACTGCTCACTTGAAGGCAGAGGAAACCATGGAGGTACTTTCCAGAGGCAAACAAGGACTTACTGGGTTAGGGGGAATTGAGGCTGGGACTAAGGAAGCAAGGTGACTAATGGAGAACAGACTAAAGTGAGGGAAAAAAGGGTAAGGAATGAAAGGAGAAGGCAGATTTGAGAAGGCAGAACCTAAAATTTACAGACAAATAATGCTGAGCAGAAGAGGGAGCAGAGCCCAAAAATCTTGGAAGAAATCCAAAGGCTGGGATTCAGACTGTGGAGACTGTGTCAGTGGGAAGACGAGACTGGGAGTAGCTAGTGGAGAGAAATAGGATGGCTGAAGGGTGGAATGCTAGGATTTCTTTGTCAAGAAGGCAGGATTAAAATTAAATGTCTGAGAATAAAAACGGAAGTGGGGTAAATAGCTCTGGATGAAATAAGACAGGATCAGGACAAGGACTGTCTCAAAAGAGGGAACAAAAGGACAAAGAATATATATCCACCAGACCAATGCATCCTTCCACTGTCTGGCTCAGAATCCATATTTTCAAGTCTCACTATTCCACAGCTGCCAACAAACATCTATAAAATCCACTGACTGTGTCCCATTTCCTCTCCATAAGGATCTACCCAGAAGATGACAACCTAGTGTTGCTACCAGTTATTCCATAAGGACATGAGACAGCTCTCTGTGGTGGATCTGAAGGTTATAAATCTGTTGATATATCAATACAATATAAAGTCTTAATTTCAGTTGACTTTGCAATCTTTGTAATGTTCTTTTAACCACATCACGCATACAATATACACACAGGAATAATTACTCAGAATTGAAATGTGACCATCTGTAGCATGAAATGAAACATCTGCGTTACAGCAACGGTACAAAACATTTCAGAACAGGAAGAGAGGATTATGACATCTGAGCAGAGCAACAGAACTAGTTAAGATAGCAATGTGTAATCCTACACACTGGAAGTTGACCAGGATGTCAGAAGTTACCACTCCCCTTGCAGAAGTTGTTGTGCAATCTGTAACAACTAAATATTACCAGTTTACAGATAACTTTCCAAAGTGCTTTGCAATTTTTGTTAATATTCTATATTTTTGTTAATATTCTATTGACTAGAGCCATGCCCATGCCTCAGAGACATGGGTTATCGATAATTAACTGTGCAACATCCAAGCTGCCTGCAGGGCTCAGCAGGACCTCCAGGGATTTTAATGGCTCTCTAGCCAGATGCAGCGTCCTGCACAGACATGTTAATCTCAAAGCTGAGCTCTGTATCTGCCACTTTCTGACAAGTATCACCAGAGCAATGTATCCCTCCTGGCAAAAGTGTTCTGGCAGCCCCAAAAGCAAAAATAAAGCAAATTACACAGAGGCAACAAAATAATACTACAAAGCTATACTGGCTCATTGCATTTAAAGGGATACTGCCCAATATAGTTTCTTTAAAATTTGCTTTGAAAACAGTGTTTTTGAGATGAGCAGAAATTTGATAGAGTTTTAAGATGTATCAACCATTTTTAAAATAACCATGAATATTGCCTGTGACTGTTGAAAGCCCAAGTGACTGAGTCATCATATAAATAGAAGCAGCCTGTTCAAAAATGACCACTCTGAGATGACTGAGCTCAGAGAAACGGAAAAGCAAACACACAAAGAGATAAACAGTAAATTCCATTTCCAATTAAGATTTTCCGCAGCATAATGATTTTTTTTTAAGTGACAGTGTCCCTTTAAATGAAGATTATTTTGCTTTTCTTAAAGCCACTATTAGTGATTTTGATGGGATTGCTGTCTCTAAAGAGGCATTAGGAGCAGAGGCAAGAGGAGGGAGAGGTGTAGTGGAAATAGCATTAAGTAGGGATAAGGGTTTGTTAAAGTGTGATTTAGCATCAACCCTTTTACAGCTCCTACTCTATGCATGTTATGAGCATGGGCCAGCCCTGGTGGATAAAACAGGAAGAGGATTTCAGAGTCTCTCTGCAGGAGATAGCCCAGGAAAGAATGCCAGAGGGACTGAACAGTGAATGAAGCACAGGGCTAGCAGAGGACTGTCACATCAAAATTAGCACAGGGTTAGATCTAAGGAGGAGTCTTCCATTCTGAAACTTGCACTTGGGTGGATATTCTGAACTCAGGTGGATGTTCTTCAATAAAAGTCTATTGTGCCACAAGTGATTCACAACAGATAGGTACAGGTAAATACTATGTGGAACAGCCTCCCTGGAGCAGGAGATCAAATGGCTGTTAAAAACCTGGACAAGATTATATTTGAAGGATTAAATACAGAACACAATGAAATCAAGGAAGATTTCCAGAGATGTGTCTTGGATCAGGCCTAGAGTGTGTGGACCTTTCCAATTGCAGAGTTGGTTTGCAATGCAGCCCCTCAAAAAAACATAGCTTAGATCAAGTAACTTTCTACTCTGGAAGATAAACTAAATGAGACTCTCAGATAACAAGGCAACTGAGCAGAGTTTTCTTTCTATTGAATCTGCTGACAGACAGATGTGTTCATGAGAATAGATTTTGAGTGGTTAAACTAGCAAAGGAAATTTTAATTTTCTGGATAGGCAAAGGTTAATCAAATGTCATTTGCAAACCCAAAAGTTTATCACCTACTAAGGAACTCAGGAAACAACATTAATTAAAGCAAGGGCAAAACCATGGTATAGTGATGACCAGATTCTTAAGTGAAAATGAGAACACTGTAATGTGTGTTTAGCACTAAATGGGGTATTAAAGCAATAGCATAGCAAGAAGCTTAATAGCTCTGTAATGAAGCAAACTGGATTCCAGCAAAAAATTACTGGAACAGCAGATTCTTTTCTAACCTTACAGTTAAGACAAAACAAGAAAGAATACATACGTGCCATCTGCAAGTGTTTTCAAAGTCCCTTGAGGGAGCATTTTCGTTTTGTTAGATCAACAACACACTCTGGCTTTTTTTAGAAGGAAAAAAGCCTCACAAGGGCAAGACGGAGGCAACAGCATGACTAATCCTTGCAAGTGTGTTTTCTCTGCTGTCCTAAAGTCTTAAAACACTTTCCTAAAGAAAACTTCAGTGATAGAGCTGGACAAAGGAGAAGCAAAAAACCAGAACGACCTTCCACTGCTAGCAAGGAAGGCAGCTGGAGTGAAAACCGTAAGCAAATTTATAAATATCAGGACTGGGAAAAAGAGAAGAGGGAGCCTTACACATGTTTTGTGGAACATGCCAGGATCTCCTGTTCCTGAGCTGGAAAAGGGGTTCTGCTATCATCAGTCATGTGCAAGGGCTGTTTCTTCTTGTTTGTGAGGCAAGGATGGGAGAAGTAGGTGAAGGGAGGGTGGGGAGAGGTGTCAGCAGGGTTAGTGTCAGCAGGAGGTTCAGCCATACATACCACCCAGATGCAAGTCGATGAGGTCACTGTAATAAGACTCTCCCCAATAGTCTACAACAAGGAATTGGTGAAGACAGAGTTATTGAGTCAGACACCCACCCTAGCCCCATACAATCAAAGCAATATATGAGAAAGACACAGAAACAAGAGACAGGCAGCTACACATGTGGGTGCACACACACATATATAAATACAAACACTATATATCTCTTTTTCTCTATATATATGTACACACAAATACATCACAAACATATATATTGGGAAGAGGAAGAGAAAATTTCCAGCAGGCAGGCGAGGATTTCCAAGGAGAAAAATCAAGAAGCTTACAAGAGACACTTCATCTCTTTGTGTTTGCAGCAGTACCTGTCACTGATGTCTCTCCTGTTCTTGCTGAGAAAAGCAGAATTAATCCTGTTGCTTTGGAGCTGAGCAATTTGTCAGAAGGAAACAGTGTAATTTCTTAGAACAGCTGCAGGAAAGTTGTAAGGGTTGATTTCTTGGAGGTGAGTGAGTGGAGGATGGTGTATGGCACACAGGTGGGAGGCACTGACTGAGCGCCAACATGAATGGCAAACACTCAGGAGTAGGAAGATGGGATTGTGTGCTCCTGCTCATGCAGTCTCTGTGCCAGGGAAGAACTGCACAGCAGTTTTCATGACAGAGATGTGCATTTCCACAGCTGCTAGAGACAGGTGCACCACAAGTCTAGCACTGTGGAACATTTCATTGGAAGGAGACAGATGGAAGTACTGAGAGCAATATTTCTCACTGCATATGATTCATTTGATGTAAAGAGGTAGCTCTTAAACTTTTCAGTATTGATCTGACAGTCAATGTTTTCTAAGTTCTTAAAAATTACTATCAAGGTTTATGCTAGAGAGAATAAAAGAAAGGTCCTGGAAATTTCTGATTTGATACATTTTTAAGTTAATGATTGACAAAAAAAATTCGCATAGGAAATCCAAGTCATTAGCATGTCCAAACAGGCGAATGCACTATAATGCAAAGTACTGTTGCATGAGTAATAGTAAATTACATTAATAAACTCATTCAAGGTGTCCCTTGGGACACCACAGAAAACGGAGAAAATTCTTCACTGAGGTCCTGCTTTACCACTGTAGTGAAATACTGTGATGCAATCCATAGGAAGGGGGTGAGGGGGGAGGAAAACAAGGGATGACAGTAGCTCAGACTACCTGTGTATGCCAGACCTCCCCTGAAACAGAGCTTACACTGCCACTTGAAATAGAGCTTAGCCTCCTAATCATTCATTCTTGCTATGAATGCGGCTGTCAAAGGCTGAGATTTTCTAAGATAATCAGAGAGAACACATTAAGGTAATTAAGTAATAATAGGTTGTGAAATTTTCTCGATCAGAAATTAAATATTAGATTGAGCATTCAGCTTCTGAAAGAATAAAAGACCAACTGTGCCATGCCTGAGGCTGTTAATTGAAAAAAAGAAGAGACAAGAAGGTAGCCAAGAAGGCACAATTATTTTGTCAGAATTAAAGTTGATGGCAACCTCCAAAATGTTTCTGAGTTTGATTAGTTGAAGAGCAAGTATCACCCTATAAATATTCCACCTTGACAAATACCAGATAAGTTGTGAAATTCCTGGGAAGAATATTGAGCTGCCTGTATCTATTGCTAAGATCAAAAGCTGTAATATCTTAGGAAAACAGCAGGCCATCACTGTGAAAAACTGTGATTAACAATCTTCTCAGTATAAGTTACTTGCCAACAACATATTAAGGATGATGCAAAATGGATAGAAAGTAGAAACAAAATTATTGTAAGTAAATAATTTTTTATCTATAGAACTGTTTTTTCTTCTTACCAGTTGAACTGAAAAATACTGTTTTCTAAAAATGGAAAGTGGTCCAGATGTGAGATTTGAGGAATTAAAGTTAGTAGAAGACCTCTACAAAAGAAAAATTTGCAATTCTTTACAGACAGAAAAGATGACTAAGAAGCAATATATTAGAAGATGATAAATTAGAGAAGAAAGAAAAATTGCAATTCTTTGCAGACAAAAAAGAGGACTAAGAAGCAATATATTAGAAGATGATAAAACTACTTAGAGAAGTAGTTCAGATGGTCTTGTCTTCTTCTATAATAGAGAAGAAGATAATCATTGCAAGTTACAGGATTCTGTTTCTTCTGTCTGGATTTTTAAGTAGTAAGAAACTACTATTAACATTACCCAAAACTTCATATTTAACTGCTGATCAATAAGTGCTTTTTCTCTTTCCTGAAAATCCTGGAACCTGAAAATCCCACTCATTACAGAGCCTAATACATTGTCCTGGAACAGTTAATACTGGCTGCTGCCTATGGAAGAGTCATTATTTTGGTGCTGTACTGCAATCCTCTATTTATGTGGACAAAGTAAGTACACAGCAGACACACCTCCCAGGCTCCCCCATTTTTTCTCCTTGTACAACCTTATAAAGAGATTTCTTTTTTTGGAAGGCAACACTACTTTACACACTGCCTTGCCCTTTTTGAACTCGTTTTCATGGTTTTCTTAAGGGAGGGACTGATTAGAGACAAGAGCATGACTCCTCACCTTTACACAGCAGTCCTGGCTGAATGTGGTGGTCACTGTTAGGTCACAATGCAGACAACAGAAAAATGATACTTTCCTTTTGAATAATTAGTGGATATTGCAGGCAAAAATAAACTCTATGGAATGTGATACCACAGATCTCAAAAAGAAGGAATTCAGTTATTTTTATGGCAAACATGTAAAATGCCTGGAAAAGAAGCAGCTGAGAGGAAACCTTACTGCTCTCTACAACTTCCTGAAAGGAGGCTGCAGCCAGCTGGGGGTGGTCTCTTCTCCCAAGTAACACAACAAGAGAAAATGGCCACAGGTTGTTCCAGGGGAGGTTTAGATGGGATATTAGGAAACATTTCTTCATTGAGAGGTTTGTCAAGCCCTGGAAGAAGTTGCCCAGGGCAGTGGTGGAGTCCGCACCCTGGAGGTATTTAAAGGATGTGCAGATGTGGAATTAAACCACATGGTTTAATAGTGGGCTTGGCAGAACTGGGTTAGTTGTTGAACTCATTATCTTAGAGGTCTTTTCCAACCTAAATGATTCTATGGCCATGCAGGAGGACCTAGAGAGGTGAAACAGGGAATTGATTTATGATCTTGTGTTTTAGCCAACACAGATTAGAACATGCTGTTTTTTCCCACCCCAACAGAATGTGTTTCTGGCTAATCCCCTGAAATAGGGGGAAGAATTTAGGATGGTGAAGTCTTTATGTCAGAGTTAAGCTTCTGCAAAAATAACATATGACCTATTGATAGAAATATTTTGCAAGAGCATACCCTAGGAGGCTTCCTGAATAAAAGAAATCCCTTTTGCAAAGCAGGACCCACAATTTCATAGTTCTTCTAGGAAATCCACAAATACACAAGCTCATCTAAGACTGCTTCCATTTGGGAGAGCTGGGACTGAGAAGCTATTTATCCAAATTCTGCAGTCTCCTATGTAAAATTGTAATTCTTACTCTTGGTCATATTCTGTCCTCTCTGAACCTCTTTTAGGCATTCTGTGATTCTTCAGTGAGAAAACTCTATAATGAATAACATTCTCTCAGCTGCTAAGACTTCCCACTTGTGCTGGCAATGTCTTACATGAAAGTCATTCAGCAGCTCAATAATCAAGATTATTTGGACTTCCAGATGAAAAGAAGCAAAATGAAAAGAACCATTAGAAACAATGGAGGTGGGTTTACTAAGTGCAGTAACTGGAAGGCCAGAGGACAGAATGGGGCTACTCAGGAACACACAGCATAAGGAAGCCCTGCAAAGACAGCCATTTGCACAAGCCTATATTTTTGATCCCACAAATGAATAAAAACAGTCTGATCATAAACATATTGAAGTCCTCAAGACTTCTCTTCACACTTGTAGTACCTAGTTGCTTTGCTGAGCACTCAATCCAGCTTCTTTGGCACACCTTATGGAGCACTAGACATCTCTAATTCTGGCTGAGAAGTCACTGGCAGGAAGTCACAACAGACTTTTTCTCTGGTGCAACCTCACTGTTCAAGCTCCATCTTCAAAGGCATAGATGTAGCTCTTCAAGCAACAAGCAAGCATCTTCCAAACATCTGTTCCACTGTTGCCATTTCTGAACTCTGACCCTTGTGATCAGGTACATAATCCTGGCCTCGTCAGGTATATACACACTGCATTTGCCTGTTGGATATTTGACTCCTTGCAAATTGAGGATTTTTTTTCCAAATCATTATACTACTATCAGTATTATCTGAACCAGGTACTCCTCCACTGATATGCTTGCCAGATCAGATGATACTCATTTAATTTAATTTCGAGTACAGACGACATTTGTTTTAACAGCTCGACATGGACACCTTTCAGTACACATGTGCATTTCTGTTCTGCACAACTTTGTCAGAAGTAGCCAGTGTGCTGGGCTGTGCAGTGAGGAAGATGTTCTGTGATGGTCCCTTGTAAGGACACTACCTTGATAATCCAACACCATAGAGAAAGCACACATCATTCCACAATTATTTCCTTGACATACAAACAGGGTTGTCTTACTGTGACAACTCTGTGTGCATGGCAGCTGCGAAACCCCTGCAATTTTCTAGCTGTAGGATCCAGCAGAAACAGCCATTAGTAGTAGCTGTAGAATTACCTCCTACACCTCAGGCAAAGGTAAATGACCTAAGTCTCTGCCAATAGGGAGTTCCAGAATTAGAAAAAACACAGGAAAAACAAGGCCTCAAAAAGATAGTAGAAGAGGAAGAAGGGATTCACATTGGGATCAGTCTCTAGGCTATAATGGTCCAATTGCCTCTAAAATCCAAACAGCTACGGATTACTGCACAAGCACTTGGTAAGAAAACATGGAAAACCAAACCAAGCTGTGATGGATACCTGCTTCTCCTCGAAGGGCCTTCTCCACAGCAACTCCTCTCTCCTCGAGTTGCCTCTGCTTCTCTTCCACTTGCTCCAACTGCCGCTGGATAATCTGTTCAGAGAAGAATGGAGCAGAACCTCACCAAAGCAATTCTCCTGCTCTGTCTGCAGCACACATACAGCACTAAGAGACTTCAGTCAGATTTGCCTTTTCAAAACCAAGGATTTGTATTCAACAACACCCTGCTTCAACCACAAGCATCACAGATTCTGGTGACAATATCCTCCCCACCCAGTTGTATCTTAACTCTTAAATTTGCAAACACTTTGATATTCATTTATTTGCCACAACTCCTGTCACCTTCCTCAACGCTGAACTGAAAGATGATGCTACTCACTCAGCTGAGCTCCTGTCTTAAGTTTTTGGCGAATACTATCACTTGTAGATGCTGTTAGCAGTTTTCCTGCAGACTCTCTAGTAATTAAAGGTTAATTTGCTAACGCATCACCCACTAGCATAACCTAGCAAAGCAATGATAGGTGCAGCTGCATCAGGCATCATGTGAGTATCACTGTTCCATTCAGTGTGTGATGGTTGCTAGAAATGTGTTATGGGCATTATTTTTCTCACTGTAAAACTCTCACGATAGGTTTCAGCCATCCTTCACTTCTCTGTGGAATGACATGAAATTTGAAAGAGGGAGCAGGAGCACTCATGTAGAAAGAGAGGATGCTGTTCTGATACACTCGGAGGAATGTCAGGACTAGGGTGCTTTCACACAGAACTGCCTGTATGCCATGACAAGAGGCTTTTGAGACTACCTGAGCTCTGTGTAACCTCTTTAGCTCCTCTTGCTTGGCTTGTCTGCGGGCAGCTTTCTGTACTCGCCGTGTCAGCTTGGCGTTCAGCTCCTCTTCTGTGTAGGCCCTCTGAAGGAAGGAAAAACAGCAGCAGATCTTATTTACATGCTCAGGGATATGGGGGCAGGGATGACCATTTTCGCTTCCAAAAATCTCTGAAGGGAGGTGTTCTGTCTTTGCCATGGCTGTGTCAAAAGTCAAGCTTCTGTAGGCAAAGGTGTTCACAGTGCAGTGAGCAACAATTTCAGGAGCAAATCAGGAGTGAAGAAGCATTTAAGCCAGCTGCAAAGCTGTGGTTTTATATGACATCCCACCCTTTCCTTCCACAGCTATATGAAACCTCTCCCAAAGATCAAACCAGGTTTTATTCTGAGTAATTTTCATTTCTCAATAAATTTAGCCAAATGGATTTAGATAAATCAATGAGTACCATGTAGAGGGTTCATTTTGATAGGGGACCCCTTGATTTCATTTTAAAATTGATTTCATGGTAATAGGCTTGTCTACATGAACAGTTACAGCAGTGTAAGCTAAGAAATTACTATAGACTAATGTATACTATTGCACCACCAGAAGTCATCCAAAAGGGGAAAAGCTATGTTTATAGAAATAGAAGGGTATTTCCTCTTTTTTCCTGTCAGTGAAACTAGTTTAAGAATATGTCTTTCTAACATTACTGAAATTTGGTTTAGAATCTTACCAGATACACTAGTTGGATACATCGTAACCTAGAAAGGCTTTAGTTTTTCTTTCTCTCAAAGGGATTTGAGTGTCAAAAAAACTTGACAACTGCACTAAGTAAACTACAGTGAAGAAAAAGCCTCTTTTCTCATGTACATGTATGTAAGCTTTGAGGGGCTGCTGTAAACATGTGTCTTCCACTTCTGGAAAGAGATCTCCCCCATGGGACCAGTCAACTTCAAGAAGAGAATATTATGTCAGACCACCCTGAAATTTGCTTGATCTAGTTGTTGTGCTGTCACATTGGTCAGTCTGCCTCTGTTGATGGTTCTCAGTGAACAGAGTTTAAGGTAGGATCACAGCTTAATTTAAAATCCCTCAGGTAGGTCATTGGCAAGCACCACTATTAACGCTTCAAAAAGCTCACACTTTACTCTTTCTTTTTTGAAAACACAAATCCACAATGGTACTCAAATTAGAAGGTAAGGAGACAGAGCACATGACTTTTCTATTCCGTGTAACACTGTTGTGACTGCAAAAAAGACAATAAAAATTTCAGCAAGCAGCAATTTCTGCCTTGATTTTAGCTTGATACAGAATTTCACTAAGATTTGAGCCAACTCAGCAATTTTGAAAGCTGCTGATTGGAGTGTGATGATTCATTTGAACTCACATTCGAAGTATTAAAAAAAAAAGAATATGCAAACATATTTAAGTGCCTTGAAAACCAATTTGTTCTGAAGCTCACAGATCATCCACATCATCTGTAGTGGTGCACTGATAAATGCATGCATTCCAACCAGTCATTTCGGAGCTTAATGCATTTTTGGGAGATATCCTCTGCAAAGAATTTGCTGCCCATGTCTGCTAACATCTCAGGCATGCACAGTCAGTGTTGATGTTAGTGCACATGTGGTTGGAGCTATGGGTTCAATGGGTTAATGTACAGGGGGACATGCAATGCAACAATGGCCAACTAGTGGGAAGGGAGACACTACCTTTGACGAGTATGATCTCTTGAATGCCAAGGCGTGTGGTACATAGATCGACTTTAAAGGGGGGATGGTAAAGGGAGAAAAATAAAAAAAAATGCACAAAATGAAGCAAAATCAGTTCAACATTGAAAACAGATGCACAGTAATAAAACAAAGTGGTTTTTACATGAAACAAAATTGTGCAAATGCTGAACGTGACCCAGACTGATGGAGCACAATGGAACTTCTGGCCACAAAATCAAGTTTCTAGCACTTTCCTGAAGGCAATTAGTTTTGGCAGCCTCCTTGAACTTGGAAATACCTTTTTCTAGAGGAATTATTTGGCCTTTGTCTAGCTGTATGACTATGAAATTCTGGCTTAAGATTCGGAATAATGGCTTATTTCTGGAACATGTTTAGTTTGAACTGGCTTGGTCAACCATGTATTACTCTGTCACACAACTCTCCATTTACATTCTGATTTACAGTCTCTCCTAGGAGTTGTGTTTATTCTAGAGTTTTAAATGATCTCTCTTTCATAGAAATGATAATTGACATTTAACCAACATCATAAATCTTACTCACTGCTTCATGAACTAAGAACCACCAGATGGGCTCAGAGTGGGTTACACAGTAGTGGAAACCCCTTGTCAAAAAGGAGAGACTCCAAAGATCTCAAGGAGCTAAAACTGGAGGGGGAAGGAGCAGGAAAAGGAGGGGGAAATCACTACTTCCTCTAGCCAGGGACATTCTATACCACCCTGTACCCAAATATAAGGCAAGTAAAGCACTTAGCTTTGTTTGCTGAGAAGGGAGGTAAATTTCCCTTCATATAATGAAGTCCAGAAGGCATTGTGCCACTCTGGGCAAACAGACAGCATTTTGCACTCTCACATTCAGTTAACTAAAACCAGTCACAAACGAGAAGCCAGAGAACAACACCAGCATCTTTGCAAGCTCCAGGAAAAAGCAAGTTACCTGTGGTGGTGAACACCTGAGCACAACACCACAACTCTACAGGAACAATGACAAACACACACATGGTGACAATACACCTACAAACACAACACCCACGGGGCGCTCACGTTAGGAATTCTTTACGAGATGCTTCTCTTGAAAGACACCACGTTTAACAACACTGAATTAATTCACTGCTGATCACAAAGAGCAGAGAAGGCTGTCTGGGAAGCAAGCTCACTACATTACCAAAAAAGCAGCACGAACAGGATTTCAGTTTGGAGAAGGGGTTCACATAAAAGTTAAGTAGCAAACAGTTAAGTCAGCTCTTACCCATATAAAGTAGCAGGCAGGTTATTAATTAAAAAAATACAACTCCCACCCCAAACCAGTACAAACCCAGCTTGGTCAGACTTGAAGTTTGGTTACATTTCTTTTGACAGCAAGGCATTCCAATGTTTGTATGTATACTCTACATCCTTGGAGAGGATGCAACAAAATGAAGTAAGTCAAGTTTTCAGATCCATATCCTTTAAATAAATACATTCTCAAAACCATTCTTAAGAAAACAGGCAGATGCTGGATAAATAAATTCTTAATGGAACTTCAGCAACAGCAAATGAATGAAAACAAGACACTAACACCAGACCCTTGGCAGAGCGTGTGAGATATTTTCAGTAGGAGGATTCCAGGCATCTGCTACTGTCACTTAACATCCCCTCCTGTGCTTAGAGATGTGATCTTTCTTTCTGCAAAAACCATTTTAAATCTGAGTGGCCCAACATAGAAAAAAATTACCATCAAGGTAGACCAAAAACTTTGTAACTCTTATCTGAACCCCAGGTATTGGATATCTGTCCTCTGCTGGCCCCAGGTACCTCATTCTTCTGCATCTCTTGGAAAATGCAGAATTTCTCATGAAACGCCTTGAGGGCATGCAGGGGGAATGGAAGGGGGAGAAAAAAAAGGGAATAAAATAAAAACAAAATAATCTTCCTCTCAGATGAGATCTAGACCAACTAGGGAAAGAGATTAAAAGAGAGATAAGTAAATATAGAAAATTCCTATTTAGTTCATCAATTTCTTCCACTAGCCTTAAATTCATTCATTAGCTATTCCAGTTCATTCTACTATATATACTTAGAAAGCATTTCATATGACATTCAATTTGCAGTAGTTCCACACCTTTGCCATCTCAGCCAAGGATCAGCTTGGCACCTGAGATTGACTTGTGCACATGGGATGACAGGTTTGACACAGGAGGCACAGGCCACTGTGCCTGTGACATTTCCTTCCCAGAGGTTCTTTTCTTCTTGAGCTTTTTTAACATGTGTACTAGGCACCACCAGGAAAGAACAGTGGGAGCACAGTTTTCATTTTGCTGTACCAGAAGAGCCTTAGTGTTACGTGAGGTCAATAAAATCTCTACGTATTCCTCCAAACCTTGCCAATTCTGTCTAGCTGAGCTTAGAGGCTCTCAGGAATGAAAGCAGGATTCTTCATCACTATGATCAAACAGTTCCTTAAATTATTCCCTTGTTTTTGCTTTAATAGTGACATTCTAAAAATGAATAAAATAACTTCAAAACAACTAGCTTTAAAACTTTGCTTTCACTATACATTTCCCACATATAAATATGTACAATTAAACTAAATCCTTATACTAGATCCTTAGGCCAGTAGGGAGGGTGCACAGCAAGTGCACTACCCTGGACTTCAGGAGAACAGACTTTGGCTTCTTCATGGATCTGCTTAATAGAGTGCCATGGAATAAAGCCCTGGAGAGGGGAGGGGCCCAGGAAAACTGGTTAAAGCTGTGGTTATGTTGGCTCCTCCAACCTCAGAAGCAATGTATCCTACCAAAGAGGCAATCAGGCAAAAATGCTGGGAGGTCTGTGTGGATGAGCAACAGGAAGGCTACAGAGGGCAGAAGCAAAGGCAGGTAGCCTGGGAGGAAGACAGAGAAGTTCTCCATGCAGCCAGGGATCAGGTTAGGAGAGCTAAGGCCCTGACAAAATTAAATTTGCCCAGGGACATCAGTGGCAACAAGGAAAGCTTCTATAGGTACATCCGTGGTACAGGAAGACTAGGGAAAACATGGGCCCTCTCCAGAAGGAAATTGGAAACCTGGTTATCCAGAATATGGAAAAGGCTGAGGTGCTCTAACTTTGCCTTGATTTTCACGAGCAAGTGGCTCCAGCCACAGCATCCCAATCACAGAAGGGGTTGGGAGAATGATGAACTGCCCGTGTAGGAGAAAGTCCCATCTGAGAACATTTAAGGCACCTACAGGTGCACAAGTTCTGAAGGAACTGGCAGAGAAAGGATCTAAGCCACTATTCATATTTGAGAAGCTGTGGCAGTCTGGTGGAGTTCCCACTGACTAGAAAAACGGGGAACAAAATCCCATTTTTAAATAGGGGAAAAAGGAATACCCAGGAGACTACAGGCCAGTCTGTCTCCTTTCAGTGCCTAGTTGTCCTAGGGTGACTTTATGATGCATGCATCCCCAGTTATCTGTTCTGTTTATGCTGGTTATTATGTTCTGTGCCCTCAAGACTGGCTCTGAAAAGCCAAGTTTTGTTTTGTTATCAGCCTGCTCACTCCCCCACGGTCTGCTGGACACAGACAGTGCAGTACATAGTGCTGCTTTTGCTTTTGCTCATGTTTTTGCTTGTTAGTTAGTTTAACTAGGCAGTTTGGGAAATTCTTCCCAAGCCAGGTCAGGAGAGGGGCCGTGGGGGTTTGCTTTCTGGGGGGACTCCTTCTGGAGGTTTTCTCCCAGATTTGCTCTAAACCCAGACACCAGTAAAGTAATGGGACAGTGAGACAATGGATCTTTCTTACAACAACAGTGCAGAGTAGCTTATAATCATGGAAACAAGTGAAACCCTCTTATTTTAGATAGGACAATCAGCCAACTTACAGGAAAACCTGCTCCACGAGAGAAAGAGTAAAAACAACATTAATCACCTACGTTTCTGATGTGATTCTCAGAGTCTGTGATCTGACTGGTACTAGATCCATCTAAAATGCATTTCCCACCTACATACCTCTCGTTTGGATTTCTGGGAGGAGCGTTCCAGAATATCGTCACTGGAGAGGTCGGAGTCCTCTGAGAAACTCAGGTGCTGACGGAGCTGTAAATCTGTGAGGTTGGGAATAAAAAGGGCCAGTTAGAGAAGTGGTAGCAATCCTTTCTGTAAACTCTTCTGAGCTCAGCTGCAGGTTGTTTGATTGAGCACCAAAAATACCCAGTCCTTTTATGTCAGTGTCTGTTGTTTTGCGTGAGAGGGATCAAAGAAGCCCTGCTCCACAAAATGACCAGCATGAGTTTGAGCTGCTCTAAGAGAGCATTACTTTCTTCAAATGTTGTTAGAAATAATGATCATAGTTCTCTTTTTGTGCTGTATCAATGCTCTTAGGATAGATACAGCACTTGGTTTGACAGCAGCTGGCTCTATTTTGTCTGTTTGTACAATGCCAGAGAAAGGTAACATGTTTGCTTTTAACCCCATTTATGGGTAACTTCCTTACTGTATCCCAAACTGTCATTAAACATCTCTGCCTGCAACTGGTGGGCATGTGAAGATTTACAGAGGGCTACCAACTCCCTCCTTCAGAGATCAGCAGGCAGCCACCAGATTACTGAGACCAGGAATAACAGCATCTCTGCAGTCTTCAGCTTCTATGGAGCCAGGTGGAAAGAAAGAAAATATCAGCCAAAGAAAAGATGAAGATCAGATTTAAAGTAGGGATGAAATGCCATAAATTCCAACAAATGATGCTTATTTCTCAAATCTAAGACATAAAAAAGATGTACCTTGTACATATTGAGAGTTAAGCTTTTAGTTAGGGTTCCATCTTTTTCCAGTGGATTCTATCAGTATGCAGAAACACAAATCCAGTCCCTAGCACTTATCCCGCTCTGCCCATCTGAACACTGGGAAGCACCAGCATTCAGCACAGGAGCTGAATGACAAAGCAAACCAAAACTACTTTCAAGGACACCTCGGAAAAGTAGGAAAAGTGCAGAGGCACTTATCTGTTATACCTGCAGCTGTAATCAGTGGAGAGGGTTTGTGCTTGCCAGAATCCACAGTGGCATTACTTGAGGGAGTACTTGGGCAAGATTTCTCATCAGCCTTTTTCTTCTTGTCTTTCTTATAGCCAGAGAAAACAGACTTCCATAACGACCTAGGCTTTGTTGCTTCCTCTGTCCCACCACTAGATTTGTCAGAAAGTCTGCTATCGTTTTTAGATTTCTTCTCCTTTTTGTTCTTACGAGGGGAGAAGAGGGAACTTCTTTTCTTACTCTTCCCACTGGAGCCTTCTGAAGAGCTGACAGACCCTTCAGGTCCAGTGATGTCAGCGGGAGGAGTGGAGTACTTCTCAGTAGCAGAATTATGTTTTCGTGCGGATCCCTCTGCTAATTTCAAGGCCAAATGCTTTGGAGACTCATAAAACAACTCTTTGGTCTTCAAGGGCATAGAAGATGCCTTTCGTACCCTTGTGGCCCCAGTAGCAGCAGCCATCTCCATATCTTTCATCTTACACAACTGTTTAGCCATGGCATCACGTAGCGCTGGGCTCTTGACAGACTTCTCTCTGGCTCTCATTCTTTCTTCAGCAATCTCCTTGGCCTCCACAGAAATGTCAGGAAACACTCTCTTCTTATGGTGAACCCCTCCTTCCATTGAGGGTGGACCACCGTTTTCTTTGACCAAGGGCAAAAGATGTGGTTTCTCTGGCCTCGGCCTACTGGTAGGAGGCGTAAAGAACATCTCGTGAAGGCTTGAGTCCTCTGTCCTGTCATCATACGTGTCTTCCACATCATCAGCAAACGGAATTTCATCCACGCTCTCTGCGAATGACTTCCGCACGTCGTCCCTCTTGGCCGGGGGGGACTCCTTGGCAGGAGGGGCCGGCTCCCGGTGTCGGGGAGCAGGAGGTGTCGATGCTGGCGTTGGGGGTGACCTGGCTTCTACATCATTCTGCCAGAGTGCCTGGTACCTCTTCCTACGCAGTGTGGCCGGCTCCTCGTTCTGAGGAGGTGGTGGGGGCGGACTTGATGGAGGTGTTAGCATGGTGGAGTCAGAAGTGTTGAAGCTCTGGCTAGCCATAGTTCTCATGTTAGATGAGCTCTCCTGAAGGCCAAGACCAGAGCTGCTGGATACATCTCCCCGTACTTCACTGGAAATCTTTAGCTCTTTTTCTGATGGAGACTTTGGAGTAAGCAGAGAGATCTGCTCATTTTCTAACTTGGATAGACCCTGTCTTCTGGGGGCAGGTTGGGGTTTCACAGGATGAATCCTTTCATCCCCTGAAAAATTCCTGCTATTGAAAGTCTTCTGAGGAGTTGCCTCCAGAGCAGACACAGTGAAGTTGCTCTCTGAGCGTTTGTTTCTGTCCACGGGGGTGAGCCCTAAGCTCCGTCGGATTTCAGCACTCTTCATCCAGAACTCTTCCACAAGGCTGCTCCGTTTCAGGGCTTCTTCTGCAGTAGTGGGGCTCCCCAGTTTTTCCACCTCACCATCCTGGCCCCTAAGGGCCAATTTGGCTAAAGGAGTAGACGTTAAGGCTGGGACAGGCTGGAAACATACTGGAGGCTCCACTGGGGATGAAATGGATGTTTCAGCAGAAGGCAAAGGCTGGGAACAGATAGGCATTTGAGCAGATGCTGGGGATGAGGCCAGTGCTGGTGCTCCTGGCTGAGACTCTGCTAGTGATGGGGGTGCAATGGCTTCTGGTGATGCAACCGGCTGGGACAACACTGGAGATGGTGGCACCAAAGGGCTCTTAACTTTCCTGTCTTTGGGAATTTCATCCTTTGGTCTTTCCTCAAGAATGAAAGGCTCAGGAAAAAAGCGTGGCTCTGGGGATTTTATTGCACGGCACGCTTCAGGCAGGGGTTCTTCTACATCCTAGAGAAAAATGAAAAAGGGGATTATTAATCTGAACACATGAGAATACAGTTTTTTTTTGGTTTTTTTTAACAGAGCTAGAAATAAGGAAACCATCCAAGTATCAAAATAATAATTTAATATCCTAAAGTCTGCCTGCTAAACAATAACTGTGTCTGATAGAATCATTAGATGTCCATCAAAAAAACAAACTTTATTTTAATAGAAAGTGAATACTGTCAGCAATTGCTGTGAGCAAACCAGAAGTCAACTGTAAAAGTAAACTGGTCTATGCCAAAACACTCCAAAACAATATTTTAGCAATTCCTTAAAAAAAAAATCCAAAACATTTGGAAGGGAAAATTTGAATTGAACATTTTAAGAGTCAAGCACTTCCAGCTCTTACACACTGCAGTACACTTGCAAGCTGTCTCCCCGGGCTGACAACATGACAGTACAACACTGACATGCCTTACTTCCTTAAGCTGAACTATGCTGAGCTCTGGAACAAAGAGACATTGCTTTTGTTGCTACTGTAATTTTCAATTGCAACTGCACAGAATCTGCTTTTGGCACATCAAAGACAGCCAGACCAGGCTAAACAGCAAGCCCCTTACTTATGGCTCCCTACATTTATTACATATACCTGTTGCTATTTGCTCACTGAAATTAAAATACTCTGTATAATTCTGCCTGGGGCTTTGTGATGGGAACTTGTGTGGCTGTGATAGAGCCATTACACTTGGAAGATATGGAAAAAAGATAGCATACATTTTATTTTAAGCCTAAATTAAGTCAGATTTCAAGATCAACATAAATGTTAGAGACAGGAAAGAAGGAGAGCCCCCAGCTGTCAATCCACATTAGTTTATCCAACAAATTGTTTGATTGAAGTATAGGTGCCAAGTAGAAAATGTCAGACTCGCTTACTTACCTCTACTTGTTTTGCTTTGGGACTAGCAGCTGGAGACAGAGGAAGAACACTGTCACTAGAGGGCTGGATAGGGATGGATGGCTTGCATGGATCTAGGGAAAGGAAAAATGTTCCAAAAATACATAAACCATTATTATTCTATATTTTTTTAAAATGTTACACATCGCAAGTAGTGACAAATTTCTCGGCTTTTTACAAATTCTAGATTGGACATCTGGAACACAGCAAAAATTTTTAAATGTCCAAAATGGTACAAGCTTTTTAATAACAACTTTTACAACAAAAAAACAGTTAGAAGAGTTCTCACATTTTACAATGCTGTAATTAATGGATTCAGAATATTCTTCTCAAAATGTTCATGCAAGCACAGACTTTGCCTCTGAGAGCTGTGAGATGGTTCAAATCCAAGAGACTCTCCTCTCTTCTCCTAAATCCCATAACTGTATAGACTATCTTAAATGCAGTTAACATCATTTAAGCACTAAAGAGAAAGTGATTACCTTCTGTCGCACTGCAGGAAGCACCTTCTGCTTCTTCTTCATCCTCAGAGACTTTTAGTTCTGCCCCTTCTACAGCACTCTGACGTAAGCGAAACTCTGCTTCTGCATCAGACGCGATGTCTTCTGATCATGGATGGAAAAAAACGAGAGAACTTGGATACAAGTCCATCAGGATATAATACTTTCTAGTCACAAGGTGCTAACTACTTTCATAACCTGAGCACTTAAATGTTCACTCCTTTTTTTGGTGTGATCATTAGTCATTTAAGCAGTAAATGTAAGCAGTAAATTATTGGACTGTTAGTACAAAGAGTTAAATCAATAATTGAAGTCCTGCCTGATCACTTCTCTGGAAGATTTTCCATGTTTTCTGCCATATGCAGTTAATTTTACAATAGCACAGGAAGCATTCTGACAGTATTATGGACCTTTCATGAATTTAATTCTGTTATTCATCAGGATTAGTATTGAATACAGACACAAGATATGTGGTGAGAGGACATGAGAAATTCATTACATAATCCAGGACATTGAAGTTCTTCTCTTTCTTTTTGTCCCTCACTCCTGGCTCCCTTCTCAGATATTTGAAACAAACTCCCACACCTCTAAAAATAAGACCAGGTTTAAGTACCCTCATGCAAAGTGTTCATTGCCAATACATTCTGTTCACACAACAGGTTTAAAGGCTGCACAGTGGTACCCTACCATCATCCAGCTCTGCACCCGTGTCTCCCTCTTCACCTGCCTGCCCTTCTGTGTCTGCAGGCTCTGTGCCCAGCTCATCCTCCACATCATCCTCCTCACATGGAGCTAGAATATATTCAAATATTGAGGGGAAAAAAGGAAAAGAAAACAAACACTGCACAGTGAAAAAGTTCTATATTAAACTGTACCAACAGCTTATACTGGTGATGTATATCAGTTACTGTCAAAACAAGAAATCCTGAAATGTGTCACCTAGAGGGACATCTATGGTGAAGTGATACCTCCAGTGAATCAAGGAATGTCTGCCCTTGGGGAGTCTCCAAGGCACTTGCACTGAAAGCTGCCAGGGGTTTTCTAAGCAATAGACGTAGTGAAAAATTAAACAAGACATCAAAACAGAATAAAGGTTACTGTTCTTCCTGGAAGATTTTGGTTTTTTTCTTTATCACAACAGAACAGTTACCACCACTTGATAGCATATGTGTATTAGGTCAAAATTGGAACCTCACAATTAACCAGGACTGTTCATCTTGAAATTGAAACTGGCTTTGAGGGTGTGAGTCAAAGACAGAGTCTGGGTATGGGATTGACCATTATTACACTTGGAAACTGTTTAAATCTGTGCAGCAGTCTTTGGTAATAAGGTCTAAGAAAATGCATACGCTGTAAAAGTGACTAGTGCACCAATTGAGATACTTTAAAGTAATTAAAATGACAAATAAAACCTTTTTTCTGTTAGAGATCATTAATAGAAACACTTTTAAGTAATTCAAATTACATATTCAAAACTTTCAAAACTTTTTTTTTTCCCCCATTTACAGACCACAATTTGATTTGCTAGGTTAAAACAAAGAAGATATTCTTGAATCTGTAACCCTGAAAACTATGGCATACTACTGCTACTGATACTACTGTTTTTGACAGCATTTAATTACAGAAGGAGAGACAAGACCGAAGTGTGGAATATAAATCTCATTATTAAATTATACTTTTAAAAAAACCTGTGCAATGGATGATTTGCTGCCTTTTTATTTTTGGTTCAACATTTCCATTAGACATAATTTAAATACTAAAAAAAAGTGAGCACTTCTAGTTCCTGATTCTTTTTATATACTAGTGACGATGTGGCTCTTGGAATAATTTACATCATTGCATTGCTAATTAAGACAATCTTGAAAACAAATGAACTCTCCCTAAAACTGAGGTCTTGCAGCCTCTCCTTTAATACAGGTTTTTGCTTATTTCAAAAGACAGCCTTCAGCAGGTGGTTTGTCTTTTTCCTTCGACCTGAGAATTTCCTTTTTTTCATGCTCTGTAGTGAACATGGATTAGTTTATTTCCTGTCAGCTACTGTGAAAAGGCAGTTCCACTCATATGATAATATACTGGCCTATTCCTTTACATCAGAGGATTATCAAATCCAGAGCCTTGCCAATGTCAAGCACAGGAAAACTGAATCATGTGGCAAAGGCTGGCGTGCTCTTAGGAGTATTTATAAATCTGCTGAACAAAACCAAACCATGTCCCAGTCTGATCATTGCCTAGGTATGCAATAGCTTATGTTATTTTGGAAATGATAATGTCATGGAATGGCTTTATGGTAAGAGCAAATGTGAGTAATCTTAATCAAAATTTGCAAAAAACATAACTAATGTTAAGAATATCTGAATCTACTATGATGCATGTGTGGGTCTTCAGATTCAGAAACCATGATTGGATGTGACACACACGGATTGCATTGGAGAGAGAAGAAAATCAGGTTTTAAATAGGTTGGTACAAAAAACTCAATGGAAGATTACAGATGCATTGATAAGTAACAACTTGGTGCAAGGGTGGTTCCCATTCTGAGGGACACGAGAAGCTTGCAAGTGGCTGGTTATATGATACATATACTGTGCATATACATATATGCAGTTAGGATGAAGAGCAAAAGGCCAAAAGCTGTCACACAATGACTCAGAAGTTACACACTATGGCAGCCAGAGACTGGGATCAGCACCTGGTTCATATTAGCTGGCAGCTTGTGAGCAGCCTGCATCATGTGCAGACACCTTGTAAACACTGCTGACTTGCCAAAGCAGCAGCAGAAGCAAAGTTTTAAAGGCAAGCTAGCTATTCTGATGTGCCAAAGCAACTCAGCTATAGATGAACTACCTAGCGCAGACTGCTTCACTAATTTAGACACCTTCACAGCTTTACACAATGTACTCCCTCACTGTCATCCCAGAATCTTCAGCCTCATTGGTTTGTAATAGAGCTTAGAGGACCACACAAAAAAAAAAAAAAAAAAATCAGCTGAGTTCTATCATCCTTCAGCATTCCTGAGGCTTTCCTGAATAACGTGAACGCCAGGTCAAAAGAGATACAACCACCACCACTATTCCTAAAGATCTTAGCTTTGACTTATTCTTCTTTCCTGTTTTCTTCACCACATGACTATGGTTTGCAGTTGCTACAGAGAAGCAACTGCTTTAAGCACTCTCTGTCACTTAACCTTTCAACTGCAAGAAAGCCCCGCGTTCTTTTAGTCTAAGGGTTGGGGGAAGAAAACCTGGTCCCACCTTCAGTTTACGAAGCAACTGGAAATGCTCAGCTGGATCCCTGGTGCATTCCTGCACCCAGGCTAAGCTGTCCTTGGCCTGCCTGCAGAGGGTTACAATGGGTGTGGAGCTCATGCGAGAAGGGGCTCTGAGCAAGGCGCACATGCACACTCCCCGTCCCCCCTCCACGTCCACTCATGCAGTAGCGACAGGGCCGTAAGTTCCAGGGTTAAAGGACCAGCTCAGCTGCTGAAGGCATGGAGAAGAGAGGGGCAGGGTTATTGTGCATTGGAATACATAGAACATCACCAAACTACCTCCAGGGACCGTCTCCAGCCACGCCTGTACCGCCTCATGGCGTACGGAGGGAAGGTCGGATGCTGAATTTAAAAAAATAAATTGTAAGAAGTCAAAATTAGACCAGCAGTCAGTGTCTAAAACAGAAGAGTGACAGAGGGAAATTTTTCACTGGCAAATACAGGAATAAAACCTATGAAATTTCAATCACCCAATTCCAGGCTTGAGAATCAAATTGTGATAATACACAAATGTCAGGGACCTAATCTTCCTTTGGGATCTGTAATGTTAGAGGAAATGTGTGGCACAGTGAGAAGAACATCACATCTGACCAGCAGGCTGCTGCTACCATGCTCCCCTTGGAACTCTGCAGAGAAGGGAAACTGAGAGAAGGAAGAGCTGAGCAATGAGAGAGGGATCCCACGTGTTGCTGCCCAGCAGATGAAGAAGAGCTCCCAAAGCAGAATGAGAGCGACTTCTGGGAGCTGTGACACTGTCCAGGGCTGTCACATCACACCTTCTCACTGCTGCTGCCAATGGGCTCTCCAAACACCTCAGATCATGGGATACAGGTCCTCAGTCAGGAACAATCTGTCTCCTGAACTCAGGCTGAAAATGTATAGCATGTCCACAAGCGCATGTTGGCAACAGCCTTTAAAATACCCAAACTGCTGATAACACCTGCACACACTTCTGCCATATGACAGAGCAATAGAAGAAGCTAATTATACATCAAGATAGTCCTAGGTTGGCCCAGTTTCAGAGAACAAAAAGGAAATACTGAATCCCTTCCCAAAGGAATTTGGAAAGGGCACAGAATCTATTTTGGAAAGATCACCTGTGGCTCGCAAGTGCAATAGTACTTCACAGAAAAGTAAGGATTATAAAATGCAAATTAAAATAAAAATCTGGAAACAAGAGTGACACAGACCTCCAAGCAAAAACACAAGTAACCTTAATTGTTGTAAACTTAAGAAACATTGTTAACATTTTTTACTTAGTGCTTTTTAAACATTAGTCAACCACTCTAGCAATACTGAATGTTACAGAGAGTTGGATACAGCTTATTTCTGTGGCTGCAGAGGGAATAAAATACCCATCTCTTATTTGTAGGGAGCTGATTTCACACCAGAAAATCCCAGTGCATTCTACAAACTGGAAATATAAGTATAGCCAAACTGATCTGGAATTGTGTATTAAGCTAGACCAGGATTAAAAAAGCCCCTATACCAAACATATAAAACTGCAAGGAAAAGACAATTGTTTGGAATAGAAAAGAATCACGTATCATGAGGTAGAGCTGCAGATTTTTAACCTAATTTCATTTTTTCAGTGAAAGAACACCCCTTCTCACAGCAGAAATACCCCTTCTACAATTGTGTCACCATGGCTGCAGATTGAGAGAAGACCACTGCTCATCAGCTGCATGGTGAGCTTTGATTTAAGCCCACAGATAAAGCACTTATGACATACTTACCTTAAGACATGCTGTAAAATAGCCTAGAACAAGGTCAGCAGGGACTGCTGGAAGGTGCTCACATGAGATCTAGACTATCAGCATTTTCCCCCTCCAAAGTTTTCCTTTGAGTAACTGACAACTTGCACATTAGAGGTAAAATCTTAAACACAGGGAGTCAAACCTGCCACTGATCAGATTTGCAAGCCCTTTGACTCCCATCATTCCCTGCTAATACCAGATGCAGTTACATACTTGGAAAAGAAGCAGCAGAGAAACACGCTCGATACGGAAGCTGACACTGTTCAATCTTTGCTCTAGCAGCTACACAACACAGCCCCTCAGCTTTCCCTAAAAAGTGTAGCTTTCACTGCCACAAAAAGCACAAGACTACTACTATTGGCATCCCTGGTCAGTTACAGGGGGCTGATTGTCAGCACTACCAAATCGTGTGGTGAGGATAAATGCTATGGAGTCAAAGCAGGCAGACAAATAGCTCAGAAGTCACACTGTCACAGAGCTGAGAAAGCAGCAGTTTTAAACAGACACTGACCTGAAAAGCAAAATGTTTAATCAAGTGTAATTTCAGTGCAATTTGAAAACAGTTCCTTTCAATCACTGCTGCCCCTGCTCAAGTCACTGGTCTCGAAGGGCACAGAAGCAACAGAGTTAAACAGCTGCAACCGGGATCCAAGAACTGATGGTGTGGGGCTTGGGGGAGATTACCTCTGGAGGTGGAGGACTTTGAGGCTGAGACCATTTTTTCCTCCTCCTCTTTCTCACGGATGTGTGTCCAGTGCACATCTGCCAGGATCTCCAGAGGATCAACCGGATTTACAATCTGCTGCAGCCTAAGGTTTCCAGCTATCAGGAGGAGGGCATGGCATAAGAGGTTGTAGGCAGGGTGTATGAAGGGCAGGGAGGAAAAGATGGGAGAAAAGTGGAAAGGAAAGGTAGTACATCATAGGAAAGGAAATAAGAAAAGAAAATATTATTGGCTAAGGTCAGTTTGCAAGACAGACAGAAAAAGCTCAGCACTGTGTGTGCACGCATACACCAATACAGCGCTCCTCACACCTCCTCCCATCCAAGCTGAGTAACGGCATTCTAAGGGCAGAGGGATGCCATTAAAACATCATCAGACATCATGTCTATTGCAAGAAGCTTTGCTGAATTGAAAGAAGTTCTCTGGGTGTCTGACACCATGTGGTATGTAAATACTAATATAGCAGAAATTCCCAGCTCCTTCAGCCTATTCTTTATGATTATTGCCAAAGATGTCTTGCTGTTAAAGGTGAGGAATAATCTCCACCCGATTGATGCACTAAGACAAAAGGTTTTTCATTTCCTACTATTGGGCTAGGCACTTCTTTCTAGTCTGAGTGCACACATTGTGAATTAAATAATATGATGGATCTGAGAGTTTCATGTGTGTATGCACACATGGGCACATGCTAATTTTAGCATCTAAAACCACTTTGTTTACTCTTGGCTCTTTTGTATTGACTTGTTCAAAGGGAGAATTTTTTTTTTTCTGAAGGATAACAGCATTTTGATTGTGACTTAACAGCTCCCCAGAAGAGAATTCCTGTCACACAAGTTATTCTGCTTAAGAGAAATTGCATTACTCTTCAATTACCTGCCTACACAAAGCTCAGCTACTTATGGAATGTCAAAGAGAACAATGGGCACCTTAAGCAATTGATAAGCTTGTTTAATTTCTACAGAACACCTGCCCAGGGAGCACTTACTCTGAGGTATTAAATTTATAGACCCTGTCTCTATTGCTGTCTGCTTTGGTTCTGTAACTCAGGCTTCATTCATCCATAATAATATAACTGGGTCTGCATGGGACAGTTGTTCACCTGTACACTGTCTGCAGGAGTGGTCTCCAACAGCAAACCTCTCAGCTGAAAGGAAAATGCCCACTTACTTTATAAAGTAGGAAGTCAATTTTCACAACTGGATTACTACTGAGTAGGGCAAAGCACTGTTGCAGCAGTTTAGAACCTCAAAAGCAGTTAGATTTTCATATGGTGCTCTAATGTTTGAAGGGAACAAGACACATTAGCAGCATTTAGAGCTTGCATTCATTTTTTCCTGCCATCTCATTTTAACAAGTTCCTCTCTCCCAGCCAAATTTTTCCCAGACATGACAAAGTGTTTGGGATATCCGTTTCAGAAATGACTATGTGTGAGATTTGGCATTAAAACTGCAGAAGAAACAGGCAGAAGGAACTGCAGGAAGGACAGAATCAGCAGATGGTCATTAAAGGGAAACGGGCTCAGAGGCACAAACTCAAATGCAGAGCAGGATTCACAATGTAGCCAAGGATTCCCCAGCTTTAGGTCTCTGTTGCTTCACCAGAGTGTTTTTGTATCAATTACACAACCACATGGGCTAGCAGAGGTGCTGGCCCATCCTGCAGGGACAACCTGGGCTGTTGTCACTCCATCCCAAAGCACTCGCATGCAGCCCCCAGGATGAGTAGAGTTAGCGTTTGCATCGCCGCACAAAGTTGTGTTAAAGGATTTAGGCTTGCCAGCAGTGGCTGAGAAGTACAGAGTCACCCAGCAAGGCTTGGAAAGAGCAGGTCCCACATGATCTGCATGTGTTTAAGTGGATTGCTCTGGGATTTAGACCACTGTAACCCACACAACTTTAGTTTTTCCACAGAAGCCTGAGCCTGTCCTGTCTGTCCCTCTCACCTTTTCCAATAAATAATGAGCAGCACAGCCAGATATTAAGGGCTTCTGCTTAGCCTAGAGGCAAACCTAACACTTCTTTAATGTCTAAGAGCTTGAGAATTTTAAACAACACCTGGCACAGCCTTTCCTCAAGGCTGCCTGCTAAGCTTTCCAGGAAGCTGAACATTAATTGCGCTTAGATTTGGAACAGTAGCTTTCCACCATTACTGTAGCAGCAGTACTTTATAAGCTGTGGGCAGATTCAATGTTTTCACTTTATTGGCTCAATGTTTTCACTTTATTGGAGTAAGGAGCCATTTCCAAACCAACTCTTAGAAAGAGTCGGGTCTGAAGTACCTGGCAACTGCAACAGGGAGAACTTCTTCAGGTATGCCCTTCAGCCACCTTACTAATACTTCTTTTTCTTATCACAGAAAAGTTAGATGGCAAAAAAGTTATAATGCTTCTTCCATTTTTTTTTTTCTTTTGGGAAAAAAAAAAAAGGAAGCTAAGCTTCTGTTATTACAATCGTAAGCTGTAAAACATGCAGTTTGACAACTGCATATGCCCCCTTACATGCAGGAAGGCACTTGGATTTTCCTTTTATATATTCTGGCTGTAATGAACCACATTGAGGGAATAAGGGGTTAACAAGCTATTTGGACCATGTGTCACAAAAAAGCCAACTATCAAAAATAAACTGCAAGAGAATGCATCATGGAAAATGACACAACCAGTTAGATTTGAATGGCTGATTAATTTTATGACCATTATGTAACTGTTTGAAGAATCTTGAGGGATTGCTGTAGCTTGATTAGTTCCCTTCCAGACTCTCCCCACACACAGACAGAAACACAGAGGACAACAAAAAAAGCAACTTTGCTGACACAAGCAGTCTAAAGGCAGTACTTCTGATGTGTCCCATGTGTCTGAGATAATGCAGAGATGCAAGTAGTCTGCATGTATAGAACAAATCTGATACTCATTACCTGGAAGTCACTGTTCATGCAAATTACAGCAGCAAATTGTCCAGGTTTTTTAGAAATCCTGAGGTACTTGGCAGCTTTATCACCTTCCTAAAACCAGTGGCAACGACAGATCTGATTTATGGCACTTGAACCAGGAGATGAACAACGGTTACTGAATCAGTTTTGAGGGAGCTGGTAGCACAATGAAATAAAGCCCAGAAACTCTTCATGTGGGACCTGCTCTTTAATACCTTCCCCTGGAAGTGGAGACAGTGTACGGGTACCTTTACGTGTACCCGAGTCCTCTTCATCTGAGAGACGTTGAAGCCAGAGGCCTTGCTGCAGCTCTCTCTCCCAAGGGTTATACTCCCCCTCTACAGCAGAGGGAAGCACACATCCACATTTAACACCAGCCACGCGTGTACACACACAAGCCATGGAGAGAGGGAAAGAGAGAAAGAGAGAGGACAGGATCAGAGACAGAGAGACTGCCTGGAAATGCTGCAGCTCCCCGTATTCCCGCTGTATTCCAAGTGCTTGGCAGGAAAACTGCTTGAATGAAACAACATCCGTCCAGGAACACCACTGCTCAGCAGACTGAACACACAACATGCATGTCACCATACTCATAAAGAAGTCTTGACTTGAACACACTTCACTCATGGACATTCAGCTCCTAGGTTGAGAAAGTAGCCAAGGAGCCTGCTGAGCTCACCAACGACACTGCCACTAAGACTCAAATACTGGGCCTCTGCTGGCAGTAGGCAGCCAAAGACCTTTACGAAAAAGCTCTTTGGAGTCTGCAAGTCTCCTCAAAAAGGAAATGTGAGTATAAAGACAAAGACAAGAGCAGTGAGAAATCTGGCATGGTGGTGAAGCACTGGAAACATGTCTATTCTGAGCACAAACTTTGCATTTTGATGACTGAGACAAACACAGGGGAAGGAGTCTTTCCCTAAGGTTTTCCACAGACATCTTTCAAAGCTAAACTGGGAACTGCCTGAACTCCCTTATTTCTCAAGGCCATCTTTTAACCTGGGAGAGCTACAAGCATCTTCTTGTGAAATGCCCTGCTGGCAGTGGCAGGGCAATACCCCTTAGTGAGGCACTCTAAAAGTGAAAACACTGCAACTCCAATGTTTCCAGTTCCTGCTGTCAGAGAACAAAGGGCATGTTCAAATCTAATTACAAATAATTATAAAAAAACCAACCATAAGCCAATACGGCAGCACAAGGCTGTGAATTGACATGCTGGCATGGTGTATGGGAAGCATACTGTATGAGTACTAGTACTCTAAACTGTCCTGTGGGCAAAGTCCTTCAGTATCCAGAATGAACCACCTCGAGCTTTCCTTGACAATAATTCACTCAAAAATCAGAGCAACAAAGAAGTGAAAGAAGTAAAGTTTTCCAAGGCAATTTTTTCTTATTCTGCATGGCAAATACTTAACTTATTTTCCCTGCTGGCTGGCAGAAAGAAAGGACAAACCAAGCTAACCTTCACTTGACTCCTCATCTTCTTCCTCTTCATATTCCTCCTCATCATCATCGTATTTGTACTCAATTTCGTGATTTTGCTCAGCCTCAATCTCTTCTTCACTCTTTCCCTTCAGGAGGGCGTGGATACGCACAGCCTCTTTCCATGGCACACCACCCAAGTCTGAAGGGGGCTGCTGTTCGTCATCTTCCTCTTCATCTTCCTCCTCCATCTCAGATTCTGAACTACTGTAAGGTTTTAGAAAAAAAAAATATTGTACTGCAAATAATAAATAATATCACTAAAGATTATGAAGTCAATGATTCTTGATCAGTCTCAGATCACTAACAAGTAATTTCAACACACATAAGCCTAAAACATAACACTGATTTTCAGCTTTCAACATTTCATAGGCCTTTTAGAGAGAGCATCACCTGCAGGCTGAAGTATGGTTCTTGCCCTACTTATTTTTAAAGGAGAGGCAGCAGAAAAGTGCCTGTGTAGCCAAGTCCAAGTATTTGTGCAGCATTTATTGTTACAGTTCAAGACAATTGAATATAACAGAAAGAAACTATTTTCTTCATATCACATTGCTCTTGATAAATTGGTGCAGGAGTCCTTCACAGTATGAGAATGCAGAGGGCCATGGCTTTTGATACAGCAGCTACTGCTAAGATAACCAAGATGATTTTGGCACTTGCTCCTGTGAACCAGAGAAGTCTTGGGAGTAGAAAGAATACAAAACACATCAGGCAAAGGAAACAGCATGTGAACTAAGGAGAGAGGGAGGAAAAAAACCCCCAAAATTCCTCACTTTTCTGCATCACAGACAGCAATATGTATCCAATTAAGTATACAGTGTACATGGTGGCAAGAAATGTAGGAAGTAGTGCAAAGATAATTACAGTAATGAGATTATTATTCCCACAGCAAAGTCTAAACCATGCAAAACAATAAATCATTAATGCCTTTTAGAAGACACCTCTGTTTAATTCTAACAGTTCCACAGCATATGCATTAGGGGCAGGAAATGTAACCACTCATTCAGTGACATTTAATCTAGCTCACTCTTACATGCCAGACTACCCGGAGGGATTGAGGAGAAAGATGGTTGCATTTGTCACTGGAAAATGAATGAGGACTACAGCATTCTCACAGATCCTCTCTGCAGGGTCAAAAGGTGCTCCAGCTTTGTTTTACTTTGATAGACCATTGTTATAACAGAACCACAACTGTTGCGTGCTTCCCCTATAAATCTTAAAAGGCTCAATTCATCTGACTGAAAGAGAAAACTGTTTGAGAATAACTAAAGTTTGGTGAATAATCTGAGAACAATATTTCTGCTGCCTCCTTATGTCCACTATCACTGGCTAACAGCCTTCGGCAGAACCCATCCCATACAGATAATGAAAGGGAAAACCAACAAGTTGAAAATAATGTTTACACTTCATGTAGGTCTATAAAATACAACTTGTACAGTTGCACTATCTTATTTACATAATTTTATTCATCTACTAGTCTGACAGTCTATTTTTGATAGCAAACCTAAAAAGGAAAACCCTTTGTTCATGCTCTGATTGTCACACACATAGTCCATAGGCTCTTAAATTCTTCTCACTGGTCTGCATAGAAACAACATTATTTTGCTCAAATTACAAGCCACTTTTTCACAGCATAAACTCAACAGTTATTTTTAACATGCTGCCCAATTTTCACATGTGAAATACTGAATACAAACACTGTTGGCAAGCCACAGGATTGGTGCATGGAGACCGGAGCATGCTCCAAAGGCTTTATGCAGATATTGCCACAGAGATAAAATGTGATGTTCCCCTTCTCCCTGATTTACTTTCCTACTGTTGGGTATGGAAATAAACCTGACAGGTGCTGCATGCTGGGGGCTTGGTGTGCTGTCAGTAAGGTTTACTGCTGCTCAAATTGCTGCCATGGGTGCTGAACGTGATGAGCTGCTGCTCGTCCACCCGCCAGCTTATCAAATAGAGGAGTGACGACACAAATTCTTCACCACACAACTCACTTTACCTTCTTTGGCTTTTATTTATCACTTGGCTTTTGTTTGACCTTTGAATAGTGAGAAATGAGAAGCTGAAAAACATGAGTGAGAGATGGCCTGGTATACTGAGCATTCCTTTCAGCATGGAAACCCTGTGTTGTAGGAATTAATTCAACAGCTGAAATTTTATTTTTCTATAAAGCAGAAATCAAAGACCAAGGTAGGTTGCTGAGGAGAGGAACTGAAACCTAAACTGTGGCAATTACTTTCTTCTCTTGCCTTGCCACATAAACCTATACAGCACAAGCTGTCCTACGACACTCCTTTGAAAGGCCACAGGACAGGACAGCAGAAATGCAGAGGACATACTGGAGGTTCCTGCAACTTAATGAATAAGGCATATAAAAGGTTTCCCACACCTTTCACACTACTGTGGAAAGTCTGAGTTCAGTTACTTAATTGTTCCTTTTTCTTTTTGAAAATTAAATAAGATTATCTCTCTTTTGAAAAAATATACTTTGAATGCTGCTTCCCATAAACTTTCTCTGCAGTGTGTGTGTGATGGGAAGCTGTGCACCAAAATGTGAGGTCTCTGCCTGATTTCTATCTACCACCTAAGTGAAAGCCTGAAAGCCCAGCCCATCCTTTGTAAGACATGGAGGGAACAAAGAGTTCCCCATCTCCTCCGCCTGCTCCTAACCCTGCAGCACTGCACCAAGACAGTGAAGATGATTAAATCAGGGCCTTGGTTGGCTTGTTGCAGGAGTCAAAATTATTTCTTTTGGTGCTGAAAAAGTAGTCAGACGTCTCCCTTTCTTTCTTTCCAGTCTTTCTGTCTTTGCAGTCTACCCATGAAGTGGATACAGCTGGACACAGGATACCCAATAGCTACATCCCCTAGAAAATTCTCCCTCTGCTTTCTCTGATATTTGGCCCACACAGCCTTGTCCATTTTCTGAGTAAACTGCTTGCCATATTTGGATTTGGAATATAAATTCTTCTAGGTCAAACTGACAGGGAATTTGACACGTTTCCTCTTTTCTCCTTATGACAGAATGTGAGTTGCTTCACACATGAAAAATTAAACAGTGCAGTCTATTACAGACAGAAATACTCATACTGATAAGAAGTTATAGGGATGAATGTAAGACAAAAAGAACTAAATGTAACACCCTATGAGACAAAAATCAAATTTGCTAACCTAATAGTGTACCACCCTCAATCTCCAGAATCTCACAAAACACCTCTTGGAGATGACCATCAGCTTCATGCCAAAATGGCAAAACTTCACTTTTTTTAAACTAATTATTGGGCTTTGTAAGTTTTCTACCATTTTTTGAGCAGGCCTATTGTGTCCCGATTTATTGAAATCAAGACAAAGAGTAAAAACCGTCAATAGCTCCACACTTTTGTTTTAGAGGTAGAAACATAAAGGAGTAAAAACCCCTGAGATCATTAATGCATATATTGTCATAGTTGATATAATTCCTAAACCTGAGCAGGTAACTAAAGGAAGGATGAGTTAAGAAAATATAGTTTGCATCTCTCAAAAACAGGCCAAGATTATTCAATTTCTCATACAGACCTATATCTGCAGGTAATTCATACGTAGAATATGATTGTAGGATCTAAGTTTCAGGAAACAAATAAAAGCATTTTCTGAGTTTATTTCAAGACTACTGGACAGACTCAGAGATGAAAAGGTAAGGGCTGCTACTGCAACAAAGACAAGTAGATGAGAAATTGTATTACGACACCAAGACTCTGCAAAAGTGTGCGATTGACTGTAAAGTTCATGAGCATTCTTCCCCAAGGATTTCCTCTCAATGATTCTTGCAAATATTGTTTCCACCAGCTCTACCTGCATGGATGTGGATCCTGGTGTGCTTGCGTAGAATTTAGCATATAAAAAGAAATTAATGAAGGTACAATACAGTACAATACCTTCATTTTATTATCATGAAGGTACAACACATTTTTCAACAGCCACTGCTACTGCTTCCCATTAATACCTCTCAAGCATTGCACCAGCATTCAGTCAGGATTACATGTGTGTCAAGGCTAAATATCTTGAAACCAAACACGGGTTTGAATTGTAATGCAAAGCACGCAGAAAAGAAGGTAACTTTGGAACCCCCTTCCATTTGAATGCATGTTCTGTTTGCTCAAAAGACTCACTTACCTTTGATACAATTGAAAAATTAAATTTAAAAATCCCTTCCCATTTAGAACTTAACCTCATGGTATTACAGTGCTATAGGTGTTTTCTAATAGTAGTAAGCTATTTAGAACAGAAACTACAAGATGAAATGTCTGCTTGTTTCAAAAACTTTAGAAAGGACAAAGTGGTAAATGGCTAAAGAAAAAGGAAAGGCAGGCAAAGCCAGCTGGGAGGGTGTAGAAAAAGCTGATGAGCAATGTGTGCTGACCTGCTGGGCACATCCTCTTCTGTCCCTTTGTCCAGCACGCTGCTCAGGTTGTGCTCTGCCAGTGTCTCCTCGGGGACCTCCTCCAGCTCCTCCTCGCGCTGCAGGGACAGCCGGTAGTTCTCCAGCTCGATGCGCTCCGGAGTGCCCCGCAGCCGCTTGGCCAGGCTGGGCTCCTCCAGCCCGTTCACACTGGAACCTGAGGACAAGCCAGGCAATAAACAACAAATGCAACAGTCAGAAATTCACATTTTTAAGAGAACTGAGCAATTGGGAGAAAAGGGGCACAAGGCAGAGGGAGGTAAATAAAGCGAGAGAATACCTTACGTCATTATCCTGCTCGCCACTACTGGGAGGTCAGACTGCAAAAGGGAATCTTAGTGGTTTTGGCTAATAGATGCTAAAAAAAATGTTAATTGTCCTAGCTGAGAGAGGAAATAGGGCCATTTTAGCTGCAAAACTAGAGATGCAATGAAGTCTATGTGGGGAAGGCCTGGGCACAGGCTGGATACATTATCTGGGACACAGAAGGAATGCTATGGGGCAACCCTGCTGTGTGTTAAAACTGGCACCAGCCAAGGGAAATATACAGAGTTAAGGAGCAAGACAATATTGTTACTACATAAAGATGAGGGAAGGAATGAAAAATGCCAAATTTTAAAACTTTTAATAGGCTTGAATTGATTTACTTTTCAATCAGAATTTGTAATGAAATTAATCACGGGGCAAATCTCAGAAAGACATTTGCAAGCAAAAATCCCAGAAATCCCTAGAAATTGCAATGATATGTGAACCAGACAGTTGTAGAAAAGTATTTAGAAGCTTCATTCATGGTAGCACTCAATGAATTTTATTCTATCCTGCTTTCATCCACTTATTTTTTAAATTGCAATATTTGAGCTTGAATACCATGCCACCATTGACCCCTTACCCATATTTCTATAATTTTGTTTTGCTTTGCTAAACAAGCCACACCTTCTTCTCACTGAATATAAGCTCTTCAGCGTACTGATCATCCCCTAGGTCTCTGCACCTGTCCCAGTGTGGATTATACTTTCCAGAACCTGGGTGATTTAAAGTGAACGTGGCTTTCCAGGTAAGGCTTTATCAGCCTAACACACAACCCTGCCACAAATCTTTCATCTGATACATGCTGAGAACACACCTGCCTATTTATATATCACATAGTACTGGTGGCTTTTATGATGTTTAGATCTTCCTCCTTCTTTGCTTTCAACTGATAGCACTTTGTTGGTAGCCAAAATTCTCAACATCATCTTAGTGCATGACCTGGTACTTTCCACTATTACATTGCTAAGTTTAATCTTGCAGTTGGCAACATTTTGCAGTTCTTAGTGAAGGACATGCCTGTGCCTGTCCTCCTCTGCATTGATGAGGGTTTGAAATGTTGCCTCAGCACTGAATCTCATTAGCAGATTTTTTTTTCCTTGGGTTTTTGTTTGTGTTTTGTGTGCTTTTTTTTTTTTTTTTTTTTTTTTTTTTTTTTTTTTTTTTTTTTTTTTTTTTTTTTTTTTTTGACTGGTAACCTTAATGACAATATTACAAAGATCAGACCCTAGATCACTTTTTGGGACACTGCATAGTCTGTAGGTGACATCCAACCCTGTTACTTCCTCCTTTAATAAAACTTCTCATCTCTAATTTAGGCAAACTTCTTAGCTGCTCACACTTCATGTACTACTCCCCCATTTTATCCAGTTCCAATAATTATTTCCATATGTCAACATTCCTGTGCTTTACTCAAGTCCAGACTGTTCAAATGTACTGCTATTTCCCTTATGAAGGTATCAGCTGTCAATAAAAGTTGTTAAGCCAGTCCAGCACAGTCCCTAGTGAACCCATGCCACATTTTATAGCACTTACCTGCATGAGGTCAAAGGACTTCCCTTGCAGAACTAGCAGGTTTTAGTTATTCCTTAAAAGGTGTTACACTTACTGTTTAACTGATATGTACTTGTTCAGATCACTTTTTAAAGTTTGTTATTTGTTTTGTTTTATTTTAGTTTTTTTATCTGCAGGACATACTTCTGTTACCCAGTGGACCATAGTATTTCCTGAATGAGACAGCCAAAGTACATCAGGACAGCTTGATTTAATCACTGATTGTTACCACAAAGCTCACAATTCATTTTACATTTCTCCCACTCTTCTGAGACAAAGACTATTTGCTTCATGGTATTAGTCTTCATTTCCCAGTCCTGCTCCACACTGACCCTTTTGCTCCATGATTTACTATACATAAAATTGCATTTTATGTCAGCTCCATCCTCACTATGAACACATTTCTGTTTTCCCTTACCTTGATTTTTACTTACATGGTTACAAAATAGAGCTCTTTGCTTTGCTCTCCTTTGCAAAGTCTAACCCAGCATGAGCTTTGGCAACGTTTACTTTATCCTCACACATTTTAACCTCCAAGGCTATAACAAGTTTTTGTTTCCTTTCTTCATCATTTGTAGTTTCTCACTTTATTCCTAACAGGTTTTTTTTCCAGGACAATTACTCACTCAGTACCACCTTCGTATTTCACACAAAACTACACAGGTCTTTACATAATTACTGGCATCTATTTCCAATCTCTCTCCTCAGAGATAACATCTCAGAGACAACTGCCAGAAGTGTTTTTCTTTCTTCCTTAGTATGATTTAACCCTTCCATGATGTGGGCAAGTGGCTGCCATGCCTTTAGCTGGAACTTCAGAGCTTCTTCGTGGTATAAACAAATAAGCTTGGTCAGGTGGCAACACTGCCTTGCATTTCCAGGGATACTGTGGTCTCCACCATTTCCTGCTGCTAAGCCTTCTGTTGTGCTTTGGTTTGCAAAGTTTAGTGGAACTGAACTGCCTTTTTCACTGGGATTCCCTCTTTTTCATTCTCTCTTGGATGGTGATACCAACTTGGCCAAATATATTTTTGCAATCCATGTTACATTACCCAACAACCCTGAGTTCACAGTAACAGGGGAACTGACCTCGAATTTTGCTCTGCCACTTTGGCTGCCAGTAGAAAAAACAGGACTCTGGGTAACACAAGAACACCAAGGTCAGGGCAGACAAACAAAGAATATATTAAAATAACAGTAAAAAAAAAAGGTTTTGTACTACTCAGAACTTTTTATACACATGGAGTCATCAGCAAGGCTCAGCTACTTTAACAGGAAGGAATGTCTTTCCACAAGCTGTTTTTAACTTACTCTTTTCTGATGCAAACCACGACATAGCTGCAAAGTTCACAAGACAAAGAATTTTGAAAACCAAAGAACAAGAACTTTTATCTGTCTGATATTATTTCACTCCTTTTGTTTTCTAACCATCTTAGGGGCTTTTTAACATCCTTTTCAAACAAAAACCAAAACAACCAAACCCAAACAAACAATTGCCATATAATTAAATTTAATGGAGTAGAGTTCTTTTAAGAAGGCTGTTTCAATACTCCAATATCAAGTGTGGGGAGAAAGATTGGTAGCAACCACTGCTAGGTAAGGAAGGACTGAAAATCAAGCTGACATCTATTTAAGTGTATTTCATTAACATATATGGCCCTTCAGGTAAGTTTTTCAAAACACAAAGCATCATTGCCCTTCTCATCACAAAGACCCAGTGTAACCCGGACACAGAATCAAACAAATCCTATCACAGCACAAACTGGGAGTGATTCAATGCAACTGTGTTAAAAAATCTTAAAAGATGGAAAATCAGCCTGAACTTTTATGCAAAAATATGTGGTCAAGCCAAGATGTCCTGTAAGCTTGACAAGTATTTCATGCCTTAAAATCTCAAAGTAAAAGGGGCATTCCCAGCACTTTCTCTTATTAATTTATATATCCATAGACTTGAGATGTCAAAGTGGTCACATCTCTCCACTCTGCCAAGAAAACATCTCTACATCAGAGAATATTATACAGAAACTCCACTGACTACCAGTTTAAGCATGGAATTTCTAGGAATGTGCACTACACAAACTACTTTGTTTACTTCATGTATTGGTTTTGTTTCTAAAAGATGTCTGTTTCTATAAGATGTCATGCATTTAGCCAATCTGGCTGTCTTCAAAGCCACTGTCAACTTGTTACCAAATATGAAACAAGAGAAATGCTACTGATAGCCATGCACCATGAAGCCATCAACCATCAGAAGGAAAAGCACTGAACTTCACAAACTTATACAAGGAATGAAAGTAGAGTGTGAGATACAGGCACCACTGAAGTGTCCAGATGATGGACAATTTCCCCTTTTTATACTTTGAAGTTCACAACAATTAATTTGATGCTACAATTTAAAACCCATAAAAATACTACAATAAAAAAATAAATAAGACCAAGGAATTCTGAAGCTTGCTGCCTACTCTCATTTCTCCCTCATACACATAAAGTGCTAAATGCATGGGCAAAGTCTATGCCAATGCAGCTCTTGTAGACCTAAAGTTCCTCTGGAAGGGAAAGCTGCCTCTCTCCAATTAATACACTGCATTTCCCCAGACTGTTTAACAGCTTGCTGGCAGGAGACAGCTGCAGAGTGCACTCAGCCAGCACCTGATCTTCTACTTGGTCCCTGGGCCCACAGACAAAAGTCAGCAACCATTCACCAGGGAGAAAAAAGGCTGCCAGGCTGCATTAGCCAGGAAGAAAAGTAGTGCTAGTACCCAGAGAGGGGAACTACCTCAAAGCCAAGTGTAGCTTCTTGAGCAATCAACTGATGAGCTAAAAATCCACTAACAACATCCAAAATAGGACACATTTTAAAATCTGACTCTTTACTTTGGAAGAGTCAGTGGGCCATGAACATTACACAGATCATCTGAAGGGAGCTGTTTTTCTTAACAGGACAGGCTGCTTAGCTGCTGCATGAAAGCTGCCAGAGCCCTTAATTTATCTCAGCTTTGACAGAGCTTGCCTCCTGAAATGATAAGTGTCTGATCAGAGATAACATTCCTAACAGAACCTCTCCTTGCCTGCATGAGTGTGTGCTATTCCAGCAACTCTGGCAATTCCTGGAAGGCTTGAGAAGCTCCTCTTGAGAGAGGATCCTATCCCAATTCACCTCCAATATTACCTTGTTCTGTAAAATCTACACGTTATTCCCACAGGCTCGATGAAATCCTGCCAAGGTTACTCCTTGACACAACACTTCCATGCTTAAGATACAGGAGAGAACTGGGAATCTGAGAACAATGAATTCTT